GGTCAGGCTGAACGCGTCAACCGCGTTATTGGCGATATGCTTCGCAGTGTTTGTGCTAAAACACCCAAGCAATGGAGCGCGATGCTCCCTCTGGTAGAGTTTGCGTTGAACAATGCGGTGCATGCCTCGACAGGCTTCACCCCATTCTATGTGAATGGACTGGTCAACCCTCGCGTTCCTTTAACGCTACCCCCTGCCATTTCAGGGCTTAGTGGGGGGGGAGCGATAGCCGAAGGCTTGGATGATATCAGCCCTGTTGCGATGCGCAAAAAGGTGGAAGCGTTTCTGTCAACGCGTTTTGACGTATTACGTCGCGTCAAAGACGCTATGGCTAAAAGCCAGGATGTTCAGAAGGAACATGCGGATGCCAAAGGCAGGAAAAACGAACATGAGTTCAAAGTGGAAGATTTAGTTTTATTAAACGCTAGGAATTTACCTACACGTGCCGTTTCGGCGGTATATAAAACTAAATTACGACCACGCTTTATTGGACCTTTCAAGGTCATAGGCAAGAAAGGTTTAGCCTATACGCTGAACCTTCCGAAGAAGATGAGAACACATCCTGTGTTCTACGTAGGCTTACTTAAGCCATACCTCAACCCTGCCTCGGTGGACTTCGAGGGGTTGTCCCCGAATCCCCGACCGAAGGAGGCGGGAAGTACGGCACCGGAGGTGCATATGGACGCTGAAGGCGTACCAAAAGATCATGGACCGATGGGTGACCGACTCCCACCAACGTTGACTGATGAGCTGGGTCATTAACAGTTTTACGTCGAGCGTCTATTGGCGCGACGTCTTCATCAAGTATCTGGTAAGGTGGAGGGGCTACCCTCAGTCGTATGACTCATGAGAGTACGAGGTTTCCCTACGGCAAGACTGCCCAGACGTCGTTGAAGCTTTTGATCGGGAAGATCAGAAGCGGCGACAGCAGTCACCGGATGTTTCCTAGCACTAAGTGCTGTGGAAGCAAGGTCAGTAGTTAGGCTTCACCTCTGAACTTCTTGGGAAGCAGTTGCTGGTACCTCACTTGCGTGAAAAGTACTATTATCTGCTGCAAAAGCAAAGATTACGGCGTATATGGCTTTGGCTATATAATAAGCAAAGCGTAATCACTTGGGGAGCTCAAAGAGCAAGTGGACATAGCACGCTATGGTTCCATGAGCATGTGCTGGGCACTACGGTGCACTAAGATAAGTGTGAAACGCTTAGCTGCTATAAGCACGCTTTAATCATAAAAACGCTTTAGAAGCAAGTTTACGACACTTTGGGGCTTTATATAAGCAAGTGGTAAACAATGTTGTGCTTTATAAGCAAAGTAACACTGTGGGGCTTTATATAAGCAAGTGTGAAACACTATGAAGCTTTATCAGAAGTGTACAACACTTTGGGATTATAGAAGCAAGTATTTTTGCACTTAAATGCTTTTTAAAAGCAAGTGTTCAGCTTTAAGGTGCGTTACAAGCACGTGTTAAACATTTAGATGCTTTATAAGCGAGTGCTGAACACGAAGGTGCTTTAAAGTAAGTTTTAGCGAAAATGTGCTTTATAAGCAAGTGTTATACACTTAGGAGCTTGATAAGCTAGTGTTATACACTATGGTGCTTTATAAGCTACTGTTAGATGCTATGGTGCTTTATAAGCTACTGTTATACACTATGGTGCTTATACGCTAAAGTGAAGCGAAAATGTGCTTTATAAGCAAGTGTTGAACACTTAGGTGTTTTATAAGCTAGTGTCAGACACTAATATGCGTTGTAACTAGTGTTCGACACTTATGTGCATTATAAGCTAGTGTTCGACACTAATGTGCATTATAAGCTAGTGTTCGACACTAATGTGCATTATGAGCTAGTGTTAACATTACGGTGCTTTGTGAGCAAGTGTTACACACTTATATGCTCAAATTCTTGAAGCAAGTGTTGTGAACACTGTATTGCTTAAAAGCAAGTGTTGTAAACACTTTAATGCTTAAAAGCAAGTGTTGTGAACACGGTAATGCTTAAAAGCAAGTGTTGCAAACACTGTATTCCTAAAAAGCAAGTGTTGTGAACACTGTATTGCATGAAAGCAAGTGGTAGGCACCTTGTGCTGTGAAAGCAAGTGTTCGTGAACACACAAAAGGTATTAACAATACCAAGTGCTTGGTACTTAACGCTTAAGCAAGTGTCGTTACACTCAATGCTTTAGCGTGAAAGCGATGCACTATATGCTCTAAGAGCGAGTGTCGTAACACAAGGATGCTTAGAAAGAGTATGTGCAAAGCACGGGTGCTCAAAAAGCAAGTGTTAAGAACACAGGAGCTCTAGACGCAAGTGCAAGAACTTTTTGCGAGGAAACCAAAACGAGAAGAAAATGAAATCGACGATTCCAATCAAGAGCAAAAATTTGTGGGTACGTCAGATCCCACGGATTGTGGGATAGGGTGTAACGGGGTTACACAAAGGTGTGTATTTTACATACACACCTGCCACACCAATGTGGCGTGGCTGTACCTTGGGTACAAAGTAGGTGATGTGACCGTACCTGAAGTACGAAGGGTCACATCGTGGCAAAGAGCCACGTGGTCACTATACTTATTTAAAGTATAGTGACTATGCATGTTTGCATAATAATAACAGGCTATAGAGCCAGTAAATAGTGATTAGCACTAAGTATAGGATAGGTGCTTCTATATTTAGTGCTAGAAGATAAACATAAATATAAATCAGTTTCCAACCTGCTCTGTAAGCCTTACAGCTTGAGCGTTCGATTCCTTCTATGGAATCAGTATCTTTGATACTAGTCTCGGTTTGAGACTCGGTTGGTAATACCGATAGGCACAAGCTTACGAGCTAGCCTAGGAGGGTTAAGCACCCGAAGACGTAGAAGCTCTTTGAGCTTGTCTTCCTCTGCACATAGTGCATAAGTAGCTTTGCTACAGTAGTCTGACTACTTTTTCTGCACATAGTGCATCTGCACCTAGTGCATGAGTAGCGTGGATACAGTAGCTCGGCTACACATCTAGTGACTTTTCTACCTGCTGACTGTGGGTCACGTCAGAAAGAAAATGGGTACTTGGTGGATTGTTCAATGTTAGGATCAATAGGTCTGCAAGCATAACACACAATTAGGCAAAAGATAAACCGATACAAGTACAATTCGTAGTAGGGTTTGCAGTCTCGGCCGTAAGTCCATCTTCACCCTGAGCCTTTGCAGCTAAAGTAGTCTCAAAGAACGAGGCGCATGCTCCTTGATTTGATGCCGTAAGATTGTATATGTGTAACTTAAGACATGTACCTGGCGATAATATTGTAAGCAGAAGCGGGCTTGAAGTGCTGCTTTTCTTGCCAGGTTATTATGGCATTGCAACGACTACGTCACATCAGCTATCTATAAGAAGACGGCTTCTTAAAGACTTGTTTGGTCGTTTCTTGGAGTTCTGACGGAGGTCAATGAGCCATAAATCTGCGCTAGACTCTCAGCGGATTTCCATGTGGCTTCTTTTTTTGAATTCACTAAGCCACCATATGGGGTATTGTGGTATCCTCTTGTACTTGCAATTTCCAATGGATGATTCGACAAGCTTTCATTATCGGCTGAGACGACCTTGTTCACGTACTGTCTAAGCTGTCAATCGATTCAGTTTATCAGTGACGCGTGGAACTGAAATACGACTTTAAGTTTTTCAATGATTCTAATCCGTACAAATCTTTTGGAGCTTTCTTTGCACGTAAACGGCCCAATGTAACGTGAAGCAAGATTTATCGACTGCCGTATCTCATGTGACGGATGGTAGGATCCACCTTCTTTATCAATTCTCCTTCGTTTCTTATATTGTTTGATTACACTTGTAGAAAGCAAGTGTAGTACTTTTGCATGTCCGTATGCGTTGACTTCCAGCTGATGGTCTTGTTATTCATAAAAGACGTCAAGTTTAGACTCACCATTAGAAACTTCCACTCAAAGGATAGATGACATTACACGATGCGGATACTTGACGTTAGCATCTGTCCAGGCAAATAAAACATCACTGCTTGATGTAAGCATATCGATGCAACGCACGACGATAAAAAACTTGTCCAAGAATCGTAGAGATAAAAGTAAGATATATACAATGTTTACTTTGTCGATCAACAATATAACACGCATTTCCCTGCACTGTATCTGGACGTGGTCAAGTTTTACATTGCATGCAGTATCCAAATCTTCCTGTTCCATTTAACTACCTTTGCTCCTTGTTCGATGCCTCCTTATACCCTGTCCCATCTATCAAGTTGTCAAAAAATTGGCCAATCAGGTGAAATTGCACTTCATCTGGAATGGTCTTGAAGTACTCTCATGACCTATTAAAACTAATAGTTTCAACACTCCTTCAGGCTCACGCGCGCGTACCTCCCGCTCTACAAAAAAATCCTTCAATATTAAAACTCCCGTTCAGCTTCTCATGCAGCGACAAACGCTGCCTCCACTGTGCTTAACGTGACACCTGACTGCCTCTTGCACGGCTACATCACCACAGCACCATCCTGTGATAACGTATCCTGTCACAGATTTACGATCAGTCTTATCTGTGGCGCTCCAACATTCAAGTCGAACGTCATTTGCTGTAGGACCTACACCATTCAGGTGTAACTTCAGCGTCTTCAACATTTTTAAATATTGTGCGATTCGCTCGTCCTCCGTCCAATCCATGGCTGTCCGCTCTGTGCGTCTGTCTTGATGCCTTGTGCACCACGAAACAAATGTCTGGTCACATGCACCTCGCAATCCATCGCAAACGTCCCACAAGCGTTATTGTTTCCATTGGCATCCGGTAGAGAAAATTGCAATTGTCCTTGACCCTCTCGTTGCATTCGTTATAGATCCGCGTGCGCACTCCATTTGCCGGCTCTCGTCTGAACCTCTTGAACAGCAAGCAAGTGATCACTTTTGATTTAGCATCTATATTTAAGAGTCATTGATGCTTGTGCGACTAGCACCAGAGTCACTTGAGTAGAAAAGATGAGACCATCGCAGTGTAAATGACTGGTCCGGGTGAGCCCTCACATGGGGAACCGCTGGGGACGACTACCGATCCGCTGGACCCAAGAGGTGGAGGACACCACGCCCACGCAGAGCAAGCAGCTTTTCGGGGGCCAAGATTTTCGCCCAGCCAAGCTGATGTAGGGGAAGATACGTCACTCCTCCAGAAGAATGATAATTACCGGTAACAGCGGCCGCCTGCGGCTGCGGCAACGACGGTGCCTGCTCCACGTGGTGCACCTCCGCGACGGATCACAATGCGGCGGACCCTCCTCACATAGCAAGTCCGAGGCGTGAAGAGTCAACCTCTGAACCTGCCACCGATGTGCGAACGAAGAGATGTTCGCGGGGCCACGCAAGCAGCACCCGTCACACCCCGCGCGATGAATGGTTGGTAACTATCGCTTCGCTGTACGCGACGGAGCACAACGCCGTTCGCATAGACGCTGAGCTCTTTCGGCGGGTAAGCAGCGTTACCCCAACTACGGCGTGGCGAGAAACAACTGCTGTTACAATTTTTTGAGCACACTTTTGTAGTACTTGCGCTAACTGGCGTCACTATGCGACCGCAATTACACGGGACCCTTACAATACAAGCTGTCCTTCACGCATTCATTGCAGAGCCTGATCAACAGGCTTAAATGGTTACGGACGCCAACATTAAATCAAATGGCGGCGAAGGTAAAACAGGGTGCTAGTCTAGGCAAGATATAGGGCGGCTCGTTCTCCACACGAGGCACGTACCAGGAGTTTATGTTTAATCCTGCAGTGTATACAAAAATGACATCGAGTTGTTGCGGGTGCTCTGCTAGCAGCCGGCTGCGGCTCCAAGCGGGCGCTGGCTCCGGGAGGGCACCAACGAGGAATGGGCTCGCCGAAAAAGTATTGTGAGCCGGCGTATGCCGAAATATATGTAAGCGTACTCGATCCTTAGGAAGGTCAACGTCTGTACCGAACAATACAAGAACACGTGAAGGGGGAAATTGTTCTGCAGCTCCAAAGTCGGGTGTCTATTCAGGTGAGCAGGCAAAGCACAGGCGCCATCAAGGAGGACATCTTGCTGGCAGCCGAAGGCGCGTGCGTGAACCAGTGGAGCTTCGACACATGCTCACGGTGGCTAAGACGATCAGCTACAATCCCGTGCAGCAAAGTGTTCACTTTTATTTCTTTGATCGAGCGACGGCGCGTCAATACGCATCTATGACGGCCCGTTTCGTGGACAGTCTACCGGGTGGCCAACGTGCATCAGCCTCACACGGGGTCGGTTAGCCAGGGCGAGATGGGGTTCAGGCAGTGGAGTATCAGGTCTAGCTCCACAATAGCATTCGCTTCACGGACATTGGCCGCCTGACTACATATTACAACCGATTTTGAGATGGAGGACATAGACTCGTACACTCGACTCCCGGATTTATGAGCTGATTAGAGCTTATCGGTGGCCTTGACTATACCACTTCACTTGTGACTTAGTTTACATACTAAGTCCGAGGATTATAGTTCTTCAATTTTGCGTCGTTTAAACGTAAAAAGGAAAAGTACATTATGTAAAGTTATTAACAATCCTAAGCTGATTTTTTCTAACCTAAATTTTGTAAATCGTGTTCCATTGTTATCTTCGTCAAATACGGAAATTCACCTTTCACCTTCCGTCCCTGAACACAGAATGACTTTACATTCCAACAACCTGGTCATACGCTTGTTCGAAATTAAGAAACATAGCGTAAGCATTCTCCTCGAGAGCGTTAAAAAATGAGGCCTTGTAGCTTTTGTATCGGTCAACCGCACATGATGGTGGATTGACCGACTGAAGACGAACAGCTGTTCGTCGCCAAGAAAGGAAAAGCTGGATCCACTCAATGGATCAAGAGTTTAATTCCATTTCCTCTTTGCAACTGCTTGGATCATTGCAATTTTTCGTCTCGCTTTGTTACATATAGACTTTTGTGGTATTAAGAAGGATAAACTTATTGAAAAAATACCATTCTGTCGGGGAGGTTTTAACCAAAATATTACAATAAGAAGATGATGTGGTTGTTGTTAAATGATAAATGTACTTAGAACCACTTTGGTGTATGGCTTCAATTAATTCAACCCCATTGTTGTACGAATGTGCATCTCGTGAAATGAAAACAAATAGCTGGACAAGTCAAACGGGCTTTAACAACAGTCAATATTCCATCACTTTGCCGTGTGCTTTGCGACCATGCTCGTTAGCGCACTCTTAATAGCCCCATTTAGCTCATCCACCACCTTACCATCGATGAACAACTTGAATGAAGGCAACGACGATACATCAAACTCATCCGTGACACTCTGTACAAACAGAAACAAAAACACTTTTATTAGCTCATTCCTCAACATTTCTAAGGATGCAGCCGTGTACCAAGAGGTACGATGTTCCTGTGGACGATCAATTCTGCAAACTTCACGATAGAATACTATGCTTACCTCGAGTTCATCAACATCGACGCGCGCGAATACTGCAGCAGGAAATTGACCGCTCAACACTTCAAAGAATGGAGCAATTTCGATGCACGGCTTGCACCACGTAGCCCAGAAGTCTACGACCAACTGTGAGCAACCACGACACATCAAGCGGCATAGATCATGAGTCATTGTCAGAGCTTGAGACGATCACAGAGATCCTCTGCACCACCAGATTCGTATCAGAGGCCAGAGCTATGGCTGACGCGAAGGCGCCGGTTTCTATGTAACAGATACATGAAGCATCTATCAGCTACTGATGCAAGGCATCGTACACGCACCGGTTTGTTCGATTCCTTATTCTGCTGGATGAGGTGCTCCCACTGCGTTTCCGACGTTACCGTCACCACCTGCGACTTGCGCTGGCGAATTCCGTCAGCCGCTAGCTTCTTTCCAATCGCGTCAGTCTCCTCCACAAGCAGTTTCTCGTTCGCAGCCAGTTCTACCTCGACATAGTGCTTCTGGATACGCGTCTCCAGTCCCTTCTTATCTGCGCCGCGCATCTCGTCGCATTTCATACCGTTGCGATAGAACTGAAACGTTGGCATGGCCGAGACATTGCATCTCTCGGCCACTACCTTGAGCTCATCTACGTCCACTTTGAGGAAGATTGTGCATGGATACTTGACACTTAGCTCATGAAATATGGGGCCTATATAGCGACACGGTCCACACCAAGTAGCCGAAAAGTCCACAACAACCGAGCGTTTTGTTGTCTTGCTTTTGTGCACAAGTTCCTTAAACTGCTGCTCCGACGTCACATGAATCACACGAGTCTGAGAAAATCAAATACACAAAAGGTTAGCACAGTTAGTACATTTGTACAAAGACGCCCGTGTTAACATCATTGTCTACAAACATTCTCTGGGATCGTCTCATGATTCCGACTCAATACATTTTTGCGAAACCAGTTCCAAAAGCCCTGAAGTATCATGAGTGCAAATGGTATCAATGCGTACACGGGGATACATATCCCTCCTATACAAATCTACAAGAAGAAGAAGGATATTTTACATATGTTAGTGCAAACATGAAGAAAGATGGGGGACAGACTCAAGACACAGACAGATAAAAAAACTAACTAACTAATTAATTCACTCACTGTCATTGCCATGATCGATTCTGTCTATTACGATCAAAGTGAATGGATGTTGGATAGTATTATTCAACACAATAAGGTTTTGATTGGATAAAAATTGACAAAGAATTAGCTCTTGATGACGAAAATCAACGGTCTTTTACACAAGTTTTTACAATAAATTGCTGATGTTTTTCACATCAAATGTATCCATCTCATTTTGCAAAAATATGGCAAGCACGACGATGGAGACATTGCGCGCTGAGGGCAACGCGTTCTTTAGCGCAAAGGAGTTTAGATCAGCTGTAGCGAAGTATACGGAAGGTATAGAAGTATCTAAGCTTACTTCTGATCTATCGGATCATGAGCTAAAGGCTGTAGAGATGCAGCGTGTCTTACTATGGAGCAATCGCGCCGCTTGTCTCCTGCAGCTCGAAGATTTTGCTCAAGCCGAGAAAGACTGTACGATGGCACTGGTGATTGATCCAGAGAATACAAAGGCTCGGTACCGTAGAGCTCAAGCGTTTATGGGGATGGGTAATATGTCGCAAGCTTTCAAGGACGTGCACTTGGTACTACAGCACGCGCCAAAGAATAAGGCCGCCGCTGAATTGGCTCGGAAGATCCAGGAGAAAGTGAGAGAAGATGTTCATGGAGTACAAAAATCATTGGACTGTATTGTGAGTGGAGTGCATGGAGAAACGGGTGATGCAGGGCTTAGAGAGGTGCTACAGGAACAGGAAAAGATTGTAGAAGCGCTGCAATTCTTGGAAATGAAAAGTGTTACAGAGCTAGCAACTTTGCCCGATGAAATTGAAAAGAGAGGTGGCTTAGTGGTGCTATGGAGAGCCATTGCAAAGCTTCTGGAGCTGAGCGAGAGTCAGGAGGAGAAGAAGGACAAGATGTTGAGTATCTTGTCGCACGTGGTGTCGTTGCTGTCGATTTTAGCGTCCTCTTCGATGGAACTTGTAGGAAAAACATTTGAGACGAATAATGGAGCACTTGACAAGTTGCTTGAGCTGTTGCATGGTCAGGTGGCCTTGGAGTATGAGGTGAGTGCTTTGGATGCGCAGAAGCAGATGCCGATTCGGGGACGGAAGGTTATAATTCGGCTGGCTGCGTTTATTTTTAAGTACCTGTTACTCGGAGCTAAGTCCGATGATGATGCGTGTGTACGCCGGGTGCTGGGTGGACTGCTGGATGGTTTGCGTAGTCGCGAACGCGCGCTGCAGATTGCAGCGCTGGACGGCCTGCTTCACTTTATTTCTGTGTTAGGTGGACAGACTGCAGTTACGAACAATACAGACGACGACAATGTGGCTCAGCACTTCAAGGCACGATTTGCCGTGCTTGCACAGGAGCTTGGATTATTTTCATTGTTGCATACCACCGCATCCAGTGCTCTACCTGGGTTTGAACCTGGTGTGAATACTGCTGAGGTTCCGAGTTTGGAGCTGACAGCAGTGCTGCTGAGCCGTCTCCCTCTCGTGTTTACTCAGTGCCTTTCGCATTTTGAGGGCGATGACACGATGCTTAAAAAGATGGTGCGGGACTGGTGTGTGTCTCCAGTGCTGGCCGCGCGACCCATGAATCGCACTCAGCTTGCTCAAGGCTCTGCTTCCTGCCTACTTCTGTCGGCTCTCTTTCTTTCCAACGCAAAGCTTGCGCTGTGGGCTGTGCAGCAAACAGGAAATGATGGCACGGCATTTCTCACGCGGTTGCACGAGTTTTTAAGCGCGTCGCGAACATTTGACGATGAAAAGGCACACACTCGGCGACTGCAGGAGATTTGGGTTGACTGTGTGGCTAGCATATGTGGTGTAGAGCATGGTCCTGCTTGTGTCCCGCCTGCATTACGAATTGAGATCTATCGCATGTTGCAGGCGTCGTTGGATGAAGGAGATGATTTGATGCTCCTAGCTAGCGCGCTGAGTATTCAAGTGAAACTCGGTATTGTTGAGAAGACGCTGGAGATGCCGTCTGAAAATGGACATTTTCTTATGGACGGCGTGTTTGACGTGCTTGCGAGTGCGGAAGCTGTGGAAAGCAAACACAGGGCGGCGGAAAAGGTAAAACAAGGAAAGAACAAAACAAAGGAGCAGGTTTCCAGATCGCTGTTGTTCTGGAGTGGTGTCTCTCCAAAAGAGCGTGGCATCGAAGCGTTGTCGTATTTAATCACGTACACCCCCGTTAAGGACGCCTTTGTGAGACACTCTGGTGCTGTGGCTAGCGTGTTTCGGGTCGAATTTCCGAGCACAAAGGATTTAAGCGTTGGAGGGCAAGCAAGCGCTGGTTTTAGGTCAAATGTCTATTATGGCATTGGGTATATCCTGCATCACGTTTTGACATCAGAGGCTGCTATTAAGCGGAAGCAAATGGAAGGCATGGAGATGACGGCTGACCAATATGAAGAGCTACAAAAAGCGTTAAAGCAGAAATCAGCGCTCGAGGATGGCGACACTCCTGAAAAAGTGGAGGCCCGTGTTACTCGGCTTGCTGCGTCGCGTGATGTGTTGACTACGCTTGTGCAGCTCCTAAAGTTGTCGGCTACCAAATCAGAAAATATTATGGAGATGGCAACTCTCAGTGCGTTGCATGCTGCAGAAATACCGTCCGTGCGAGGTAACCTGGTACAGTGTGGCGTTTTCCAGGCGCTTATCCCGTTGGCGTTGCACCACATTGCGGTAGCAAAGGTCAAAGGTGGCAAAGCCTCTAAAAAGGATCCTTCGCAGCTTCACGGAACAAAGATTTCAAATACTGCAGGTCAAGCGATGGCCAAGATTCTGATCAGTACGAACCCAAACTTGATCCCGTCGTCATCGCTATTTTCATCCATTCGACCGTTGCTAGATCTTTGTAAAGGTGACCAGCAGTTACTGCAGTTCGAAGCGCTTATGGCTCTGACGAACATTGCGAGTGTGTCGGAAGAAACAAAGGCGCGTATTGTTGGCGAACCGCAGGGTCTATCTACGCTGCAGTATTTGCAGTTTTCAGAGCACGAACTCATTCGTCGTGCAGCTACGGAAGCAATTTGCAATCTCCTTCCCAATGACAAGGTGATTGAACAAGTTTTCATGAATGAAGAAAAGGTTCGTCTTTGGGTTGCGTTTGCGTCTCTCGAGGATGAAGCCGAGGATTTTGAGACTGCTCGAGCTGCTGGAGGTGCATTAGCAATGGTGTCTCAAGTACCACAGGTAAGCTGGATCCTAATGCGTCAAGGTGGACTCAAGGCTTTTAGCACTATTATTCAACAAGGTTCAAATGTGGAAACACTACATCGAGCATTATTTGGAATGCAGAATATGCTCGAAGCAATTCTTGGTGCAGCAACGGATGAGGAGAAAGCGGAAGAACGACACAAGTTCAGTGAAGAGATTAAGCAGTACAGTACAATGCTAAAGCAGAAACTGATTGCTCATTGTGGTAACACACAGATGAAGGACGCAGCTCAATCGTGTCTTGCAGCATTAGACCAAGTGATTCATTAGGATGGATACTATTTTGGGTTGACACTCTTTGGGTGCTTGAATGAGGTTTTATCTTCTCGTCCTTGTTTACACTAACGATACATAATAACAGTCAATCTGTCCGAAGAAATGTCTTGAATGTTGTGATATCCTAATTTTTTTCAATCGAGACAATTCAAACAGGACAACCAACACAAGTGGTTCACTCCCCTCCTCCATTTTGCGACCTACCTACCACCTCTTGGTTCAAAAGAGTCAAGAGATTAGCGAATAGACAGACAAACTCACAGACAGACAGCGAGACAGAGAGACAGAGAGACAGACGACAGACGTATTTAGTATGAGTGACGATTCCTCGATTGCTGTGCAACGTTTACGACAAGAGCGCAAGAATTGGCGACGAGATCATCCAGCAGGCTTTTGGGCACGTCCTATTGCTAATGAAGACGGATCATTGAATCTTATGATGTGGCATGCAGGGATTCCAGGTAAAACTGGTACAGATTGGGAAGGTGGTGTGTTTAAAATGTCATTGGGATTTTCAGAGGATTATCCAAGTAAACCCCCACTTGTCAAGTTTACACCACCATTGTATCATCCAAATGTGTATCCATCTGGTACCGTTTGTTTGAGTATTTTGAATGAGGACAAGGATTGGAAACCAAGTGTAACGATTAAACAGATTCTCAAGGGTGTACAAGACTTATTGGATCAACCTAATATGGCTGATCCAGCTCAGAGAGAGCCGTATATGGATCTTAAAAATGATCCTGAACTTTACAAACGTAAGGTGCGTCAATTGGCGCTCAAGAATCGGGAGAATTAGAGAGGACACATGTTGATAGGAAGGAAAAGATTACGAGCAGAGATGACGACGAGAGAGTGAGAGAGTGAGTGAGAGTGTAATGATTTACTTACACTAGTACTGCATTGACATGAAAAGAAGACCCAACACGTGTGATGGATCATTAGTTGATGTTGTATTCAAAAGTAGATGAAAACTTGGATTACAGGAAGGTGTGGCGGGTCAATCTACAGCACAAGAGCTGTATATCATAGTCACCATTGCATCCATAGTCCTTCGACAGCTTTAGTCCTTCGACTACTTTAGTCCTTCTTGAGTGCAAACATCTCCCTGTCAATACCCGAAGCCTTGATAGTCAAGATCTCCACGCTGTCACCCGTGTAAATATCTCTCTGTTCTCAGCAATACAAACAAACAAGCAATGAGTAACAACCACCACACCCAACACACAGTTACACTGTCTTCTTCGTCATTATCAACGTACTTCTCCAGCCGTAATGAACGCATCCTTGATGATATCTTTCGTTTCCTGCAATGTCAACGTCTTCTTTGGGTCCGAGCGCGTGTCGTGCTCTACCAAATTATCCAGCAACGGGATCATCAAGTGCCCTCCGGATCCTTGTGCTGCACGTGATACCCGATCGTACGACCCAATGGCGTCGTACGTATACACAACTCCCTTGCCTTCTTCATCAATACCACATAGGATACAGAACGCATAATATGGGAAGAAACGACGCGAGTACAGCGTGTTCATGAGCAGCTGTGCCATCGCACTTGAACTCATGGACGTCTCATTATCGTGCTGGTACATTTGGGCACGAATACTCAGTACACCACGCAACTGAATAATATCATTATGAGATCCAGGACATCCCAACACGGTCGTAGGTGTTAATGTATGCAGCTTGCTCTCATCACGGCTTAATACTGAATAACCCGTACTCAAACGCGTATCTCCTGCCACGACGACAAAATCCTCGCCTGCAATGGCCAAGACAGTGCCACCATTAAAGTCATATGGCTCCCAATTTGCATGTGCCTGTTCATGAATACTTTTAGCCTGTACATGATGTAGTCCAAGCTTTGCGTCACCACTTGTAGTCCACGCGACAGCCTCTTGCATCCCCATTTGTGGCACGGAGAGGTTCTTTCTAAAAGATTTTTTTTATCTCTTTTTTTTCTTAAAAAAAGGGGGGGTAACCAGTACAATACCGATATACTATCTCCATTTCTATTTACAATATAGAAATGCAATGCAATGTACCGGTTATACTATACGATACCGATCTAAAGCACAGGCCGTGCGACGAGCATTCATTCCTGTATTGAAAACACGTGAATAAAGCACGTGCTTCCTTCCTTTCTTCTGCTGTCTCTTGTCTCTTGTCTATTCGACGTATTTACTAGGTGATTTACTATTCAATCAGTATCAATAAAGAAGTATGGAACGTGAGCCATGTCCTTTTCGTATTGTAGAAGATGCGGGCGGTGGTTTTGTCCTGGGCGCTGTCTTTGGTTCAGGCTGGTACACGTTTAAAGGCGCACGTAACTCACCATCGGGTCAGCGTTTCCGTGGAGCAATATATAATGCCAAGATGAGAACACCTGTTTTAGCTGGTGGATTTGCTGTATGGGGTTTGCTCTTTTCATCCTTTGATTGCTCGTTTGAAGCTTTACGACGAAAAGAAGACCCGTGGAACTCCATTTTGGCTGGCGCAGCTACAGGTGGCGCCCTTGCAGCTCGTGCAGGTCCACGCGCTGCTGCAGGACAGGCACTTATTGGTGGTGTATTGCTGGCTGCTATTGAGGGAGTGAGCATCATGGTGAACGAGTGGTTTGCGCCACAGCCTGACCAGGGAATGGCTGGTAATATGATGGGCAATACGGATATGGACGAGCAGAAGCTTGCACCACCGTCATTCTAAGACGGTTGTGCTTGGCTGGTGTTTGATATATAGGAAATGCTGCTGGGGCTACAACATGTTGCTGTCCTCCTTAATTATAGGAAGGACCTTTAATTCCCGGGTCGATAGGATCTGGGCCGAGGATACATAGACAGAAGACGATACGAAGAGAAAAATATGAAGGATGAGTGCAACGTCGTTGTCACGGCTAGAAGTGGAGCTGTCGGTAAGCTTGCGGGGGACGAAGTGAACAAGGAAAGATTTGGTGACAGAAGCAAACATATCGGCAATGGAAGAGAGAGAGAGAGACAAAGACAGCGATAAGTGGATGCGGTAATGTGATTTTAGACGCTTCAAACTAAGCTTAATCTTGTAGCGGGACCATATGGTGTGTTTGTGTTGTTATTGAAGCAGTGTGCAAGTGAATGACTGATGCTGACAACGTGACCCTTTCTGCAAGTCGCTACGTTATTTTTCCGTCAGAAACTGAGAAAAGCTGACAGAAACGCATACGTGCATTTTACACGACTGAAGCGTGTCTAGATAGAAGCTGTGTTCAACCAACACGCTTCATCTAGGCTCGACTTGATAGAACAACTGCAGCTGCCTTTGGTTTGACCGGGCACATACGTACTGTTGCGTGCATTACATCGCTTGAAGTGATGCCGAGGCATACTAGAACAAGACATGATGGCTGAGATCAGCTACTATGATGCAGACTTGAGCGATGCAATCGTAAAGCTCAATGACCTCATGGGCAAAGTTGCGAAGGCACTACCCGACGTGTGACCGGAGGTTGGTCTCTGGCACTGGATCTAGATCGGCATGCAGTACATTTGCAAAGGCTTCTTTGAACGCCTGTTTAACTCGTTGTCCATGAACAGTTGCTCGTGGCAGCTGACGTAAAAAACTCAATGAAGTAATGAAGCTCAAAAAAGGGTTTCAATTATCCTTGCAGCAAGCTCCACGTGACCAAGTTGCTGTCTATCGCAAGGTTTGTGCTTCCTCCTTGACTCGGAACATTGCCTAACTGGTATGTTCGCGATCAATAATACATGACAGCAGAAATTTAAGGAGCACAGTGCTCGCGTGGGAGACCTCTCAAGTGATTTTGTTGGGCTGAGGCAGAACAGGAACCGAAATGCTTATGTGAAGATCAAACCACAATACATAATGCTGAAGCTCAAGGACCGCATGACTTGAGAAACAAGGAATGGCTTGAGAAGGCGATAGAATTCAATACATGACAGAGCAAAGTCTCATAAGCACGGCAAAGATGCTTGCACAGTCGAAAGATGCCACGGCAGCGGCGCTGCGCAATCAGCGCGAGCACATAGTTGAGATCACAGATACCGTTGTGAGTATTGAGGATAGCCTACAGCGCGCTGACAAGTTGATCGGTTCATTTGCGCGGCGCATGGCTACCGATCAATTCATTTTGCTGCTGGTGATTTTGGAATCGCTGGGATGATTGGCTACAAGGTGGTCAACCCCGATGACAATACCTTCAAACATGCCAGAAGGAGCCAACAACACACTACAACAGGACTGTGGATGTCGTGAACAGCACACACAGCTTATGAAGCGAAATCTCCGTAAAACGGCTTGTAGTAGAATTTCAGTATTTGCGTGTTCTCATTTCTCTCGACCCCGATGGTAGATCAAGCATAGATAGCTGTCGATGATTCCCAACCACGAGTTCTATCATCACCAGACTGGACACTTCTTCATCGAGCCCGTCTCAATGTGCTGTCCTCCGGCTTTGATTTTCTGAGCCTTCACCTTCGTCCAATTTAACTCGAAAGGTTTGTTAAAAGCTGATACGAATTCAACAGATGACCGACTTCCTGGATACGCATGGTATTCGCCAACTTTTTGCTGAGCTTACTTCTACAAGAATTGTGCGTCGTGAAGATCCTCATCAACAGAAAACCTCCGCAAGACCGATACCTGCCAAAACGCTAGCAAGTTAAATCAGACTACAGGCTCAAGCGTTATGTCCTAGAAGCAGAGTTTGAATCTCAGAGAACCGAGGTGTAGGATTTGGTTGTGTCCAAGCATGCGATGCTTGAAACGTATTGCAGCAATACTCTTGCCTCCTGAGCATGTGTTCTTTGTGTACCCATCACATCTTTGTCCATAGCCTCAAGAAATGTATATGAGCAAGCAGTAGAAGTAAGATGCAGGACGTGTTGCATTGCGTCTTTTCAAGATACGCTCTCAATGACTGGTTTGCATTCAAACAACCTACACGCAACCTTATTTAGTTTCGACCTATCCAACCGTTTTATTTTGCAAAAGATACCGAAGCTTGACCGGTTTCATACCAATCGAAACTCAAACATTAGTGTAAACCGACACACACAAACAAACAAACAAAGCGTCGCAAGAATGCCCAGTGCCAAGTGGGAGATTGTGCGTATTGGCTTTTATATCTCCAGTGCGTTGCCAATTTTAAGGATCTACGCGGACTTTATGATGTAATACTTAACTTCTTGTTCATCTTATATTGTAGTCCCTATTGTTGCTACATGTATCTACGCTCAGCCAGACTGCATTGACTTTATTGTCAATAGGGTGAGGTTTGACACAGGCCATCGACCATGAAAGAACTTCTTACCGTCTATTGCGCTGTTTGTCTTGTTATGGTGATGATATTTTATAGTGGAAATATATTCAGTACCCACCACAGGCCGTATCTCGTGAAGAATATTACAAAAAGATGCAGGAGGTAGCCAAGGAAGACAAATGAGTGATTTGCACTGGCGTTGACTAGGGACTGTGTAATGTCAGTACTGCAATCACGATTGAGAGCAGTGAAACAATAACAGGCTGTGGCAATGACATATCAGGATGATTGGATAAGATAAATGGCAAAGAAAAAGAAACAGCTTGCTGTATTTGTGATCGTCTCACGTGACAACAAAGGGTGTCAATACTCGAGGGTGTCTCTGAGATCATCACTGGCAAGGGACGAAAGCTGCCTAATGTCGCTTCCTATGCACAGACACACTCCAAAGCACTCGACTTTGTACTTATTGCTTTCGAAGCAAACAGTAAATCCTTGTATCATTGTGAATCATATGCAAGTGGCGCTGTTCACCGCGCAGGCACATTAGCAGACCACCAAAACTGGCATAAATAGCCACCATATTGCCACCTTCATGATCATACTGGAACACTTTGCCGTACATTCCATAGTCATACCGGTCTAACAGTGTTGGCTACATTTACAAACACACACAGACACAGGTATGAAGTAAGCTTGTTGTTTTGTTATTAATCACACTATGTTACAAACTATGTATGTGTGTGTATGTGAGAATGACGCACCTTGTCGGACTGGTTAAACGTACCATCGTCTGGTTTTCCTTCCAAGTCCAAAGTACTAACAAGTGCCAGTGTAAATTTTTCATTCTGACGTAGACGACATACTTCGGAATTAATGTCCAATGTCAGTTCCAATTCGTATGATACACCTTTGCATACGACACGCGTGACTGTATCATAAAACCTTTTAATTAGTTTTAGATGATCATGCTTTAATATATATATATATATATCTTAGTACAAACAACGCCCACAACTACAAAGTCAATTGATACAATACTAGTCTTATATTCTCTACCTTTATCAAATTTCTTTCCATCTGGATTCACCTGTCGTACTTCAAAAATATCCTCAAATAATTCCGTCGCCATTTGTTGTCGATATAGTTATTGTTATTGTTAACTTGACCAAATGATGTCCACCAGCCACATAGACTTGGAAACACCATTGTAAAAACCGGTACTGCACAAATTGTTGTATTTTTTCAACCGGTATCGTCTCCGTATTATATTTTGTAACACGAACATACAAATATTCTAATACGCACAGTCTAAGCTTTTTGTGTGTGTATCTCTAGAGAGATATCCATATACACAAATAGATACATATATACAAATAGATACATTGATACGTTAGCAAGCTATGGCATCAACTCATGAAGATGAATATGATTATCTGTTCAAGATCGTATTGATTGGGGACTCGGGCGTTGGCAAGTCAAATCTATTGTCTCGCTTTACGCGAAATGAATTTAATCTGGAGTCCAAGAGTACAATTGGTGTCGAGTTTGCTACCAAGTCGATTGTGGCTGAGGGTAAGACTATTAAAGCACAAATCTGGGATACAGCTGGGCAGGAACGATATCGAGCAATTACTAGCGCGTATGTTGTTGTTGTTTATTGAGCATTCTTTTGGCTCTAGATATTGCGATACAATGGTGTGTGTGTTGTTACAAGTTAATGCAACTGTGCTCTGTTTACTGTGATAGATACTACCGTGGTGCAGTAGGTGCACTATTGGTGTATGATATTACCAAGCATGGGACATTTGAAAATGTAGAACGCTGGCTAAAAGAGCTGCGAGACCATGCGGACGTGAACACGGTGATTATGTTGGTGGGCAATAAGAGCGATCTACGTCATCTACGTGCAGTATCTACGGAAGAGGCAATGGCATTTGCTGAGAATAACAATCTGGCATTTATTGAGACGTCGGCTTTAGAAGCTACGGGAGTTGACACAGCTTTTCAGCGTATTCTTACCGAGATTTACAAGCTCATGAGTCGCAAGACGATTCAAGCAGAAGAGAACGCGACGGCAAGTCTACCTACAGGCAATAGCATTGCAATTACGTCTGAGAATACGACTGAGACCCAGAAAAAGAAGAAGAAGAAGAAGAATGGATGCTGCTAGGAGAAGCTTGAAAACAAAAGTAGATGATGATGATGAGAGAGATGGAAATAGTCACGAAAACCTCAACACAAGTCAAGAGGAATGGCTTAAGCACTTCAATGCAATCGGGTTTTAGCTCATATGACCACGTCACACACGCTTAGCAAAATTTGGTCTGAATTTTTGTGATTTCGATATTATAGTCCGACTCTATTTTTGATCAGTTAATGAACGGATGGCCAACAAGAAGAAGCGGTGTCGGGTTCAGACTCTTAATGCTGTACGTATATAGAATGCTTCCTATTAGTGTAATACCATTCTATTGTTGCTTATTAGTAGTGTGTTGTGTCGACGAGGACAGATAGAGGAGAAACCTGCAGTATCCGTGCAATTGAATGAGACATCGAACGAGCAATTCAAGTTCTCGAAACCACTGATGGATGATGCTGCAGCCGTATTACCTCCTACAAACGACGTGAATGTTGAGGAAGAGAGTGTACAAATGAAAGGAATTGTATCGATGGATGTAGTGGCTGTGGATAGGAGGAGGAAGAAGAAGAGTAAGAAGAAGAAGAAAACGAAACGATCAGGTGGTTCAAATGTAGCAATTCCTGAGATTGCTACAAGAGACGAGAACAAAGCTGAAGGAAACGAAATTGACGATCTATTTGCGTCGTTAAAGACAAAGAAACAGAAGAAGAATATTGAAATGGAGCAGCAAAAGCTTGCAGAAGAAGAGGAAAAACGTCGTGGCAAGAAGGAGAAGGAGCAATTACAGCAGCAGATTAAGAAACTCGAAGCACAAAGTACGTGTATGGCTAGGAATGGATGTAGAACCATGACTATGAGTGACTGATTGCATTAACATGTTTGTTTTCATGCTTGAATTCGGCTTAGACACCAACTCCTCTGCAGTCGGTCTTAACCCGGATCCACGACCAGGTATAAACGTCTTATTGCAATTACTTTGTAACTTTCTCGATGGCTTATTTTCTTCTATTAATGTCTCATTCATTAGTTCGCTATGATGAAGATGGATTGCCCATTTATACAGAAACTTCACTGCAAATAGGCAAAGGTGGGAACACGACCGACTGTCCATTTGACTGCTGGTGCTGCTTTTAACACGAGATTATATAAACTCTTTTGAACCAATCATATGATTTAATTGTGGCATTTTTTTTCGGTCACTTACCAACACAGGACAGAATGAAGACCTCGTCGCGTCCAACGAAACGACTTGCTAGTACATTGGACGAACAACACGTTGCATTATCAAAGAAACCCGAGGTTTGTGAACACAAGCCATCGGTTGATTCTACTGCTACTATCATCAATCCATTGGCATCAGGTCCCAGTATAATTGAAATCCATGCGTTTGGCCTCGAAGACCAAGCGGAGGCTCTTATCTCAAAAGACGCACAGAGCTGGACACTTGCACATCTGTCCAAATGGCGTCATGATACTTTTAACAAGGCTATGATTACTGCAGACAATCAACAAAGTATTCAACCTAATAATAGTAAACTCAGTAGTAAAGAGTACTTACGGCAACGACAAAGAGCGTACCGTACCCATTGTCTTGCCTCATCTAGCAAGCACAAATAATCTGACCTGTAATCCAGACCGTAATACAGCTTGGACGATCACACATGTCGTGTGTCCAGACTTTCCTCACTAGTTGTGGTGTCGATGAATCTCGCAAGGTATCACCTAGTCATCGTCTTCCTCCAAGTCACTGTCGTAGAAGATACTCTGACGGATACTGCTAATCCGTTCCTGGTCTAGCTGCTGCTTCAATTCCACTGGTTTACTACCTGTTGCATACGCACCTCCACATCCATCCAATGGATTCTCTGGCTCAGGACCTTCGTACGTCAACATCTTGTGCAGACTCAAGTAATAGGCCAGGAAGGCCGTAGAGAACTTGTCTGTGCCTCCTAACTCGTCCAAACCTTGCACCATCTTCTCTACTTTTTGCTTTTGAACGAGTGCAATGCAGGGAATCATCCAGATACCAAGCTTTTCCACCAAATACTCTGCCTTTTCAGCATTAATGCGAGCAAACTTAGTCTCAACATGGTGAGGTGCCAGACGAGCTAAATGGCCATCCACGACTTGGCAGAAGGCATTAGCAGGCGTGAAGAAATGTATCACTACCTTGTCACTCTTTTTCATTGTATCAAAGAACTCGTGCGTGTCTGCAATCGTCGTATACTCGCCATGGCCACGTGCACGGAGATCCTGCACCTTGCGCGCTTTCTGTTGCATGGCCTCTAGCCGCTTCTCACGCAGTCGTTCCAGCTCATCGTCGTCGGCCTGTTCAAGCTTCCTAATTGTCTCATCCAGTGTTGTTTCCTTCTGTTCCAGTGTCTCGAGCACCTTTTCACCAATCAAACTTGCTACCATCTCGGCCTGCGAAGCGGACGTCGACGCCATTATTGTCTTCTTTTTTTGTATGGCGCCGATTACAAGTAAAGCTTATTCGAATTTAGACAATTTAATTGGCTCATATACAAATCTGTTTTAACCAATGATATGTACAATGAGACAAGGAGCAGGTTAAAAAACGTTTCAAATTGACTGACTGACTGACTGTTGTCGTCTGTCAGCATAAGGATGGCCCTCTATAAAGCACGCTCGTTCTCATAATCAATAAGACGCTGGATAAGATCTTTCTTTTGACCCTGTGTAGATAAGTTACGTTCTTTGAGCTTTTCCTTGAGAACTGCTGGCTTAAGGGCCTTTATCGCACGAGCATCGAGAGGTTCGTCTGTAGCAATAATACACAGCAAACCAGCAAACAACATTCAGTCCATGCATCAACTTATCATTTACATAACACAACGTGTTACTCACCATTCTCCTTGACCTCCACCTTCTTTTTGCCCTTCGCACGCTCCGCAGCAGCTACAAACACAAACATACACACATGTCAATATGTTGATCTATCACACATCACCAACACCATCCTTTCTCTCTCTCTCCCACATACCAGCTTCTTCCTCCTCCTTGCGCTTTTCAGCCTCTTCACGACGACGTTTGACCTCAGCCAACCTTGCCAGGTCTTTCTTTGCTTCATCCGTCTCTCCAGCCAAGTGTTTCTTCAGATAATAAGCTGCAGCGCGCTCCTTCTCAATAGCCTCACGTTCTCTTCGGCTAAGCTGTTGTGGACCTGCATTCTCATCCATATCCTTAGCTTTCATGACCTTGGTTCTATTCTTTATCATATTCGGGTTCTGTGTCTTGGCAACAGCAGCAAAACCCACTTTCTTCTCCTGTTGCATGACAGGGCCATCTGCCTTGTGTGAAAAGCCAAAAAGCGAGTTGCTTTGCACACGCTCAAATGCCAAGAGCTCTTCTCCTTCTTCACCCTCTGAGCTACTCTCTTCCTCTGAGTCATTGCTATCTTCCTCGCCATCTTCACGACGGGCCTTGCGCGCACTTTGTTTCTGCTCTTCTAGCTCATCACGCATCGTCATTTCCTCTAATGACGTCACAAACTTACGTGCTGCACCTTTCTCACGTTTCTTACGTCCTTTACCGGCAGCAGCACCGGGCTTAGCTCCTGATTTGCCTGTATCACGCATCGCCAAACTTGATTGGTGTTGACAAGAACGTCAGCTTTTGCGTTGTGATCGAGTGGGTGTTGACACCATTAAAACGCATATAATATGATGAACAATAGGATATGCGATAGCCTAGTTTTGAATTGCATGGTGTCAAATGAATCGTTGCACTTGAGACTTTTTCGCGCCCCTCAAGCGACAAGTAAATTGATAATTTGTCTTTGGCAAGGATGGCGGATGAGGATATTGATATACTGCTACATGAAGGCATCCAAGCTGCAGCAAAGGTATGTTGATAGAAAGATAAGATTCTGGACTATGTAATCATATAACAATCACTCTTGTGTCGTTAGTATTGCTCAAGTTATCATGCTTTGAATCTAACGTATCAATATAAACTTCTTCTTCTAGTCTAAGCAAGATACGGACAAGGATAATCGACCAGAGGGATCGTCATATCGTTCATCGCGTCGTCGTAGTCGGACACGCAGTCGTAGCCGTAGCCACTCACGTCGTCGGCATCGGGATCACTCTCGTTCCCGATCCAAGAGTCGACGACGTTCGCGTCGCTCTCGCTCGCGTTCTCGATCACCTCGTCGCAGTCGTGGAATCCCTCGACGAGATAGAGGACGTAGTCACAGTCGTAGCAGGGAACGACCATCCAGAAAGAAACGCAAGAGCAAGAGTCGATCACGCTCAGCTCCTCCTAAAGAAGAGAGAGAACGTAGCACATCCGCTGAACGCGCTGAACGTGCAAAGCAGCGTGAGTTAATGGAACTGACGCGTGATCATCGTACAGTTTTTGTCGGCCAACTTACCCAAAAGGTGCGCGAAAAGGACCTGGAACGATTTTTTACAAAGATCGGCAAGGTGGAGAGTGTGCTGTTGATTCGTGATAAGTTTACAAATCGCTCCAAGGGCTTTGCATATGTGGAACTGTCCAATTTGGAAGATGTTCCCAAGGTTTTACTAATGACTGGACAGGTGCCAGATTTTCAAGCATTTCCAATCATGATTAAAGCATCTGAAGCTGAAAAGAACTTTGCCGCCAAGAAGGACTCTGTCATGAATGCAAATACAGCAACTGCAACACCTCTAACAGCTGATGCTCTTGGTGCCGGCTTGGCTGGTGCGATTGCTGGTGGAGGTGGTATGTCAGTGTCGGCGCTGTCTGCGGCAAGTCGTATCTATTGCGGCAACCTGCACACAAATATTACGGAGGATGACTTGCGGATCGTGTTCCAGTCGTTTGGTGAAGTTTTGTCGGTGACTATCAACCGCGATGAAATGGGTCGCTCCAAGGGCTTTAGCTTTATCCAGTTTAGTAGCCCACAAGAAGCTAATTTTGCGCTGTCGAAAGGCAATGGGCTGGAGCTGGCAGGCAACTACTTGCGTCTTGGACCGGTGAACGAAAATGCGGTGGGCGGCAGCAACAGAACTATAGGTGGAGCAGGCACAAACGGTGCGGACGACGGCGCTGCAGGCGGGCGATGGAAGCTTGAGGACGATGAAGGCACTGGACTGAGTATGAACGCACAGTCACGCTCGGCACTGATGGCAAAGCTTGCTGGAAGTGACGTGAACTTGTTTCCCACGCTTATGGGAGGCAGCGTTGGAACTGGTGCAGGATACCCCGCAACCACCACTGACTTTGCCAATAGCATGGCAGCAACTGCTGCGCAGCGGGCAGAACAGGCAGCTGCGCTGATGTCATCGACGGAGATTGAAGGAAGTGAATCGTTTTGCTTCGTGGTAAAGAATATGTTCGATGTGTACCAGGAGCAGAAGAGCGGAAACCCGGAATGGTCTGTAGAGATCCAGCAGGACGTTGAAGAAGAATGCGGACAGTACGGGCCTGTGTTGCACACGTACGTAGAAAAAGAGAAACAGGGAGGTCTCGTATACGTGCTGTTTGACAACGTGGGCAGTGCTGTCTTGGCCGCCAAGAAGCTGCATGGCCGTTGGTTCAATAAGCGCCAAATTAGTGTTAGGTACCTGTCGTCGCAGGAGTACGTCGGCATGTTCCCTGAAGCTCGATCCGCTGTGCAGACTGCGCGCGCCAACAGTTCCCAGTAAGGTTCAACACTCCATCGTCCTACTCACCTCGTGCACATCCACACAGGCTCTAGACAATGAACGAACGAACAAACCAATGGCGTGAAGGACTTACTACACTAGCTCAAACCATAGCAGATAGCCGAGGAATCTGCTGCTGATCGAGCCCAGGTGACCGGATATCTTTTTATCTTATCTTACACCATTCTTGCTAAACACTATTTGTAGGAAGGTGGGTTATTATTGGAGCAGATACCATTCTGATGCGTGCATTCTGTTCGTAGTGACGGTCGGCTTGGGCGAAAGGCGACCACGACAAGACAAGGAATTGACTGTTTTTAGGGTTGCAAGGCATACGCCATTTTTTGTCACTATTTTACTTTTGTAGTGTGCAGTCACTACCTACTTCTCTGCCTCTTCAACTGTGTCTTGAGTCTGTGCAGTCTCAGCAGCATGTCGTCGTCGTTTTATCAGCTCCGCTCCAAGCGTGCGCTCAACAATCCGGATGAGCTCATCCACTTGCGTCTCAGAGAAGCGTCCAGCACAGTCGTCAAGAATCAAATGAATATCCACGAGTTCCATAGGAATGTGGTTGATAAACTGCAGTTTTTCGGCTGATGAGAGTGCCAAGAGATTCGAGTGGGCGAGCTCTTTGAGAAAATTCTGAATACAATTGGCACTTAATGTCGAGCAGTGCGAGTGGCTCTGTGTCAGGAACTTGAGCACCTTATGATCCATCCAATTACGCTCGGCATATTCGACCATAGCTGGTTTATGTAAACGTTGTTCCTTACGCTCTTGCATAAGCTCGAGCACCTCCATATCACTCAATGAGCCTTCATTAATCAGTAGCACTCTCATGGGTCGCTTTCGAGTTTGGGAATTTGAATGGCTTGCGTTTTGTTTCAAACATTTGGCATAAAATTGAGTTTCAACACGCCTAAAAAAGCGAAAAACAATGGAAATTAGTGCTTTCACATAGTAAAACTACAAGTGTCTAGGTTGCTATCTCAGCACCAAATTCCTAGAAATAAGACTAAAAGCTAACAATAAAAGTACTTAAATCGGACCCCCTGCCGTCGTCACGGGAGGTAGTAGATCCATAGAGTGCTGCCATGCCACTCATCCCAACAACACCGTTTTCTCCCTTCCTCATTGACGACGTTGAGCATCACGTTGCTCTCGTTCGCGCTGGTTCTCAGGTTTGCCTCCATCTGCACTCAGACTTGGATTTAACTGTCGTGACCTCAATACCATCGTCGAGGTGGGAGTATCCAGAGACCTTCGAGCTCGTGAATACCCTGCACGCGTCGACCGCCTTGATCCTCGTGCCATCCTTGGTGCTGGTCGTACACGAGGTCGAATCTCAGGCGTGTCTTGCATAGCAAAGGCAAATTCATTCTCCAACGATCGAAACACACGAGGAGAATTCGGTGGTGAATCATCAACAAGTGGAGACAACGCTAGTCGTGGATATGTCCGTGCATAGACAATACCACCATAATTACGGCGTTTTGGTCTCTTTGGTGGAGGTGGTGGGTTTTTCCTATCCAGCATCCGAGCTGAAGGTGGTGGTGTCACTTGAACTGAACGAAGCAAGGTACGATGTCGTACTCTGTCCATCTCACTCGTGTTCTGGGAGTCTTGACTGCAAGTTACAATATCATTCTTAAGATTCGCACATGATGCTACAAGATCAGCATCACTTCCCTGTGAGCTCACAAGAAACTCATCCAAATTAGTAGATGCGGCAGCAGCAGCACCATCACCATCATCATCATCTCTTCTGTTCTCCTTTACAATCTCTTCTTCGTCATCATCTTCTTCTTCCTCTATCCGAAGTGAAGGAATGACAATTGGGGACGGTGGAAATCGCGCCTTCTCTTCTTCTTCTTCTCCTCCTTCTCCTCCTCCTCGGTAGTTTTCTTTTCATTTTCTTCCTCTCTTGTAGATACTTGACACTGATTACTCTCACTTAACTTAGCTAATGGAGAAGCTGGTAAAACAGGAGGAGGGGAGATCGTATGCTGCTCTTCTTCTATTCGACGTCTCTTCACTTTTTCTTCCTCTATTGTCTTCTCTTCCGATAGTGGGGTTATACAACGTCGTCTCTTGACAATACATAACGTCTGCTGCTCTTGCTTCTTCTTCTTTTTCTCCTTCTTTTCTGGCTCTGATTGATACACATTTGCTTGTTTCTCCTCTTCTTTTCTCATAATTATCGACTCCAGTCGCCGTTTCTTCCAGCTTGTAGTAGCAATTGTACAATCCTGCTCCTGATCATCTTCACATGAAACAGAGGGTGGTGGGGACAACGACACGCCTTCCACTCGTCGTCGCTTCCCTGTCGTAGTCACAAGGGCCTTCATCATATAAACTTTCGTGTTTACTTAAAACCTCTTTGAACGGTTTACTAGAACCTCAACGTCCCCTCTCTCTCTCTCTCTCTCTTTCTTTCTCTCCCCTAATCTTTCTTCCTAATCTCGCGCGCCTCTGATTTTGAATCAATTTTCCCCCCCTTTTTGTATACTTAGTCTCTAATAGAATCAAACTACACAAAACGGCTAGTTTTTGGAGTCATGTACACGTTGTGTACGAAACATTCGATACCAAAAACTTCTACGGACCCAAAATTACGTCGACAAGTTTTTGGATCACCGAATTTAACAATATGTTGCAAGAATGTTGCTACAGAATGCAAGACTCTTCCCAACCGCAAAGCGCCTCCCCTCCTCTCTCACATTCATTCTTTGTAGCACATCGAGGCAAATACATTCATTCTTTATTCCTTCATCTTCCTACATGATGTTCAGTCGATCCATCTACCAAGTGGCTACACACACGAAGCGTCAAGGCAGTCGTATGATGGCTACAAAACACTCATCCATTAATGGCAAAGGTGCACTGGATACTATATACAAAGTGTTTATGAAGAGCACACCAGTGTATGTAACAACAGTGCTAGTAGCTGCACTGGTGATGGAAGGCGTATATGGATCAGCTACGAATTATATCTGGGAAGCGAGCAATCGTGGTGTACGTGACTATATAGTACACTATACATTCATATAGATAGATAGATAGAGAGAGAGAGGAGGAGTTGTGAGTGTCTGTGTGTGTGTGTGATTCTAATGATATTTTTAACATGAACAATGTATGAAATTGTGCTTAGCGTCTCTATCATCATATTGACTGGTCCAAGTTTGCTGAGAAGGAGGAAGAAGAAGAAGAAGAAGAGGCAGAGGAGGAAGAGGAGGAAGAGGAGGAAGAGGAGAATCTTCATGAAGACGACGAGGAAGTTGAATAGATTGGAAAGGAGTAAGTCTTCGGGGTTTCTAGGCTCTATATGCTACAGGACTTTGACCTTTTCTATCAATACTATGAGCACATGCAGTAAATGTGGTGGAGGATAGTAATGTCAAGCGTTGCATTGCATGAACGACGTCGAACTTTCGTACGTTATCAGTCAGAAACACGACGAGAAGATGTTTCTAGTCGATAATCATGTTTTGTGCGGCGTGTATTGGTTCTCTGTCTCTCTCTAGTTTTGATTCCTTGTTGCAGAAATTGATGATGCGGTGTCAAAGTCAATGTACATGTCTTTGCTGTTTAATATCTTGTTGGCGGCTGAGATGCGGTACGCTTTCGAGTTGCCAGGTCGTCTCTTTACCTTCAAAGCGCGCTTGTCGAGCATTTTCTGTCAACGACCCACACACACATCAAAAAGCATTAGCCAACACACAAACAAAACCACCGAGAGAAACACAAGAACAAGTTGCTGTACGTACCTCGACGTCGCTAAGTTTGCAGCCCGCAGCGACACAACGCACCATGGCAAAGTACATGACATCGGCGGCCTCTCCAGCTACATCGGATATTGATTCAGCTTCTGCAAGTTCTTGTGCCTCTTCGACCAGCTTGTTACGTAACAGCTCTGCATCGTCGAATAGCCGCTTTGTATAGGACCCAGCAGGTGCATGCTCATGGCGACAGAAAAGCATACTCTCTAGGGCACGAAGGCCGCTATCGTGACCCCAGCACGTGCGGGTATTGAGGTGACAAAAGCCGGCGCCTGTCTGATTCACAGTAAAGCGTAGCGCGTCGCTGTCGCAGTCCGTGTCAATTTGGATCAGCTTCTGCGCGTTGCCACTGCTTTTTCCTTTCTTCCAGAGACCACCACGTGATCGAGAAAAGTAGACACCACATCCACTCTCGACAGCAACCATAATGCTCTCGGCACTGGAGTACACTAGTCCTAGAGCAACACCAGCTTCATCTACCACAACAGTCGTGAATAAACCATCCGGACGATCCGTTCGAAGACATCGCACGAACGACAATGCAGCATCCACAACCGGTTTTCCATCTTGCACCATGATCACCTCACTCTTCTTCTCTCCTTCTCCGTAGCAATAACCTGAAGCGACAACATGTATGTTCCTATCATGCAATGTCTTGATCCAATCTAATGCCACGTCAGCATTATAGTCTTCCACACGTCCTGTACTCATCTCAAGTGCAAGAAAATACCCTTCATCCATGCTCTTCCTTAACGAGACTAGACTCGCAACTAGAGCGTTCAATTCATCGTTATTCTGGCTCAATGTCATGAAATCAATCACAATTACAATGCCACTTGCAACACTTTGCAGCCTCAATAGTTTCTCATTCATTTCTGTAGCTTCATTAACGTCAAAAGACGACGATAAAGGTATACGCAGCATCACTCGACTGGCTGGTAATTCCGACACTGCCATCGCCACTCGCTCCAATTCCGAGTCATCGCTGGATGGTGCATCCACTAGAATCTTTTGTATACCCTGATCTAGCCACATGGCCATTGCATCAAGCATTTCAGCTGAGAATGGGCCTAATAACGCACGTACATCCAATAGTGAGGCCTTTAGTATCAAATCCTCAGGTGCTGGATTGAATGCAGGAATGGATGGCGCCAATTCAAGTAGCTCATTGGTCAATAATTTTGTATACACGATTCCTAATGTACTAAGACGATGTAATAAGGAGCATTGTGTATCAATTGGCATTGTCCATGAAGAAGAGAACGTAGGGATCAACATGGTTGTCACGTATCGAGTGAGTGATTCAATCGTTTGCGACCGTTCAATTCGTAAGGTATATGCGAGATAGATTACGGTAGAGATACCGGTACTTTATGAAAACTATCGAGGTTTTATCTTACAAAGACAATTCATATTCGTATGATTCAAAACGATAATACGTAATAAATATCTCGATCTCTCGATATGGGCTCGTGCGGTATTATAAAGTCGTTTGCTCTAAACTGGTTTGTTAATTAAGGCATTTGGGAGTCAGGCAGTCTATCAATACGTATCAAGAGCTTTGAATAACCGTTTCGTCCTTGAAACCAAGTTTATAGCAGCTAGAATAATGACCTTGTGGATCGAGCTGCTAGCATGATCATGTTGGTAAAAGCATATGCGCGGACCAATTGATAGTAGAGAAATTGGATCAGGATATTAGTCCGATTCCATTGTATAAACTAATGATGGTGCTCATGATTGTGCAGCCTTGTTCAATTCTTGAAGCCAAACCTGCACGATAGCGTCCATGCTCTCTTTTGCCTGAGCAATGACAGTACAATCATAGTTGCCACGCTTCAGAGATTCGATTGCCGACATTGTATCGCGCACAGCTTGCGACGAGTATATCACTCCATCATACGTATCTAGGCGCACATGTCTTTCACTTTTGGCCGCAAGAAACTGTTGCATACTTTCTTCCAGTGTCCTGGACTCCTGACTCGCGGTAGACGTCTGGTCTTCGCTCGAGGCCAGAAAACTCTGACGCTCGATAGGCTCAGGCTCAGAGAGACCAGGTGTCGGTAGAATCCTGCGGTGCATCAATTTTTGAGAGCCATTTGTACTCGAAACTTGACGTCGCATAGGCAATTCAACTTCCGATGGTATGAGAAAGTTTCCACGCTGAATCAAATGCTCCTCTTTGTCCGAGTCTTTATCCATTGAAACATGTTCACCTTCTTTCGAAACATCCCCAATTCGCGCTCGTTTTGGTGCTTTCATCTGCTCCAAGTTCAATTGAATCGGTGACATCTGCAGCTTGTCGTGCAAGTACAACACGTCCATATCACTGCAGAAATTGCAAAAATTTGAGCCTTCCGTCCCCAATTGCTTCCAGCGAGCAACACTCTCCTCATAACGCATTGTCAAGTCTTTCCATATCGAACAGAGCTTGGCTGAAGAGCAATGAGGTGCAAGTCTTGGATCAATTTCTTTATATCGTCCTGGTGGACCTGCAATCCTACTAAATTCAGGATTGTCATTCTCATAGGCCATTGCTACATCTTTCCAGTATTTGGCTCGACCATCGGTGGTATCAACCTGAATCCCAGTAGATGGTAGAGCTCCAGACTCAATCATCCGTGCATTGAATGCAGGACTGAACAAGATATTGATCAATCTAAACCCACAATGCTGCGTCCTATCACGTATTTCAATCCTAAAAGTCTGCTTCACTGGTGTCATCTTGGGCTTAGGATATCTTGTAAATACTTCTCCGCGTAGTCGAGCACATCGATATTGACACAGTAGCTTGGAATATCCATTCTTATGGTTCATTGAAGGATCAGCCTGAGGATGTAGACCTAGTTGCGTACAAGCAGCACGAAGTTTCTTGCACTGGAATTTCTTTTTCAATTCTTGAACAAAATCTTCGTTCGAGACGTCCTGTGGAGACTCATTGATCATTCGAACAATATCCGACGCTGATTCGACCATACGAATTGCCGTATACTTTGTTGGTGCGATGGAAGAAGTGACCGTCGTGGTCTTCTTGCTTCCCATTGTAGGGATTCCGTCCTATCCTATGTATGGTTTGTTGATCCTAGGATCCAAAGCAGCGAGATACCGGTATATTCTCTGCTGTCGATCTTTTTGTAAGTCGACATACTGATGTACCTACCGGTAATGCAAACAAACCCTCGTCTTCTTGCTCAAGCTGTCGGTCTTTAACCTCTGCAATGGCTTGTTCTATAGTATCAATGGAATTTATATCTGCCATAGAAGATGCTTTATTACGTGGAGAATGGACTCAAGCACTCAATGACAGCCGTAGTCTGCTCACAGCGCGTATTGTAGAGGTACATACTGCATGCCAGCTTCTTGATGTAAACTCGATTGTTATGTAACATGTGAAGTAATTAATTATAAATGGTAACAGCTTCCGGAAGAATCAAGTAACTTGGCTATTACGATGACAACACAAGAGTTGGTTCATTTCGTGTGAAGTAACAAGTTTTTATTCCTCTCTGAATTTACCATGTATGATTGTCATAGGGAACAAGTGCTGTCTGTGTATCTTCAAGCAGTATTTGAATTAGCACTAGATGATGAAGTGGAGACGGCAATGATCATGGCAAAGGCTTTTTCACCTTTGCCTAGTCATATTGCAATTCATTATTGCAACTTTCTAATTGCAATGAACCGTCGACTGATGGCCAAGCAAGTGTTACAAGACTTGCTCGAGTCTTTGACTAGAAACCGAGACGTGAACTCTAGTGTTAAACAATACGTGAAAGCTGTTGAGATAATGGCGTTGCAAGTAATGCTGCCTCATGAGGGAATTGAAGCTGCGCAGCAGTTTGTGACGAGCGACAATGTGCTGAACGATGAAGTCAAGTTGGTACGAGACAGATGTAGCAAGGTAGAAGCGGGGAATGTTGGGATACTTCTGAGGGTTGTGTACGTGTGTGTGTTGGGATGTTGTTGGTGTATAGCAATTACTTTGTCAGATCCAAACGATGCACTTGGCTACTCAGGAAGCTAACGAAGACAGTCTGGAGACTTTGTCAGTGAATCAGACCGACACAACTGCAAGCAGTAAATTACAGACGACGGATGTGACATCTCAGTCGATGTCAACTCCATATACTCGTATGCAGCCGTCTGCCACCAAGATAGATGACGACTCGAGTACCTACGTGATCATCGGTGGTACAGCTGTGGTCTTGGCTGTCGCAGCGGCAGGTGCATTGCGCTACCGTGAGAAAATTCACGATTGTATTTCCAATGTTATTCCTGCTATCTCAAAAGGTATTGCAGATGCAAAATACGCATTGTTTGAAGCTTGAAATGGTAGACTCACACATGCAACATCATACGAGTTCATCACGTATTTATCATCAAGTTCCATGCCTTTCTATGATATAAATCTGATGACAAGACTGACGATACTTTTCTTCCGGATAATAATGTGTGATGGGACTTCACAATCAATTACCGTCGTTGGCACTGGTAGTGTGCAGAGACAGTACAACTGACAACACGACCCGACAATGTCACGACTAACACAGACAAGACAAAAAAAGAAAGTACAGGAGTCTCACCAAAAAAAGCATAACAAGGGTCCAATGTCTACTCGTGCGTGTAGTATACACAAGTTATTGTTCATTAGATTTACAGTGTATACATGATATAAAAAACTCCATCATTGATAAACTGAGATCAATGTTAGTTTTCTGTAACTTCATATGGACGTATAGCACCCTTACGTCCCGCTTCGATCCCTAGGCACTTTTAAGATAATTTCGATTTAGTATCCGGATACTGACTGTTCTGAGCGATTGAAACGTCTAGTTCAATTGGCTCATGACGTATTTTACCCCCATCCCCAAAGCCAGACGTTGTAATGCCTGTAGATCGTTTATGACACCTCGCTCTTCCACGAATGTCTGTCTAGTCCCTCCTCTCAACGTTGATATGTATTTTTTGTACAGTGCAACCTTGACAGAGTTTTGAGCACAATTGAATAGACAGTCATTTCTTCTATATAAAAACCACTTCATCGTCCGTGTTCGAGGAAGCAAAAAGAATCAGTTGGTGATCAAAGCTCTTTCATTTCTGTACGCGACGTTGTCGTCGACGACCTTCTTTCTTCTTCCTTACGTTCTCGTAGTTGTCCCTCTTCCTTTGTGTGTATCTCTCTCTGTGTGTGTGTTCGATTATACTGTTAAACGATGGCCACTTCCCGCAATGGGATAGTACTTTTCGATCTCACTGCCGACAATAATATACCGAGTCAGACCACGACTTCGACAATGCAGAGAACGTTTACTACAGCCAGTACGAACAACTATCATCAGTCTAGACCTCGATCGCATTATGACACATTAAATGTTCGATCTCATGCTAGACACGAGACAAGAGAGCACGTGACTGCTACAGCAGATTTTTGCTGTACGAACCCGATCATAAACGAAGATTTTCAGGAAGAGAAGATTGCGGATGAACAAGACCATATCAACTTTAGTAGTGCAAGGCATAAGAAAGCTGCCGAAAGTGCGAAACGTAAAGCTCGAGGTAAGAAAGAAGCTTTGGCAGTAGATGCGGCAAGACCAAGACATCTGGATGATTCGTTCTCGCCAATTCGTCCGATGCGTATCCAAACTTTTGTTATACAGGACGACGATGACGAGAATGATGATCGACACGATACGTCTGGGAGTAAATTCCAACAGCAAGATGCTGCGCATCCTCAGGACCCGGACCAGGCTAAGTCGCGAAAGCAGAGTATTTCCGCAAGCTGGACGTGCTGTGGCTATTCACATCCGCACGTGTTCTTACGGCTGTGCACTGTTTTGGTTGTTGTGCCTCTTGTCGTCTGTGGCTTGATTCTTTGGCCGGTACTTGCAGCAGCGATGATGACGACAATATTACTGTGTGTCTGCTGCTGTGAGCATGCGTGGCTGTCCTACCGCATCCACTCGCGATTAATCATTACCTACCAATGGTATGAAGGAAAAGAAGGACCAACTGATGCAGTAGATTCAATTGAGCCCAGTACTCGCAGTGAGGCAGCTCAAGTATGCGGGTATCAAGAAGGTGAACGACATTTCAGCGATCCTTTCGCATCGTCCAGTCTTACAGACCCTTTCACATCGTTCCCTATCGGACGAGGTGCACTTGGTTCTGAGGATAGGAATACCAGTGTCTGGACTTTAAAAGACACAGACTTCTCTGACAATTCAATTGATGCAGCTGATCCAGCGGTGCGTTTGAAATCACTCTCGGCTTTGAGTTTGCTGGATTCGGAAAGTCCGCGTGGTATACTGCTTGGTGCGGCAAATTACCTTTTCTGTGAAAACTTATGGTTGGCGCGTGTATCAGTTGCTGTCTTCGTCACCGTTTGCTGGTCGCTTGGAGCTACAATGATTTTACCATTGATTCGATTCCCTGTTGCAAGTCTGCCTCACATTATTGCCTCAGCTCCCTATTACTTCTGGGTGGTTAACTTTGTGGCATCGCTTTGTGCCGTATGCTGCCCCACTTGGCCTCGCGCAATTTCGTTGGTCGTGCAGAAGTCTGCTTTTGAGATTGTGTTGTTGAATGCGCTTCATTGTCCATTGGCAGCTTCTGTGAACTGCAGTGCAGCTCCAATTACGTCGCTGCAAAGCTTTGCATTGGGTGCCATGACGTTGATGATGGTTCACTCTCTCTTTGCTCGTGAACCTGCCAACCTCGTGGTTGGGGTGATACTTGACTTGATGGGATACGCCTACATTGCTGGAGCACTGGGACTACTAATTACAATGATAGATTCAAGCGACCGCAAGTCCGCGTGGGCAATGCTTTGGCTCGGGATGTTGAGTGCGATGTGGACGGCACAGTTTGCTGGCTATGTCTGTGACCACCTAATGTCCTGCTTTCAGATTCCTCACATGCGGTTGCTGCCATCACAAATTATCGTGACACTAAACGTGGAAGCGTCAATATGTGCAATTGCGGCTAGCAGTGTTGTTCTTATCTATGGTGGAGCTGTCTTGAATGTGCCCGGTGATGTACTGCCCAAGGTATTACTCGCTACAAGCAGTGTGTTGATGGCACGCTTTGGTCAGTTGGTTCTTACGATATTGAAGAAAGCAGCAGGTGTGCATTGGAGTGGTTGTTTGTTGCCAGGTTTTGGTGGAGCATTGGATGGAGCACATGCATTGTTATTTACATCAATCGTATTTGTCAAGTATTATCTGTACATGATTGCACGACAGACAAGTGACATGGACGACCAAGACGGCGGTGATGATTTTGCATCATGGGCTACTGTTACATTTAGTACCGACTTGGGTAGTTGAAGAAGAGAAGTCGTTCGTTTCAGCTCTCTCATAAGGATCCAAACGTTTATCGATTGTCAAGTAGTTTCTGTAATTATGATCGTTAGTTATTATGCAAATATGGCTGCAGTTGGTACATTCTCACGGTCTTCTCTATCTTCCGTCGTTGTTGTTTTGACTATCGCTGATAGTCTTGCATTCCACTACAGCAACGTTATGGTTTGCTTACTTGATTGACATTGACCTGCCACGTCCTAGTGCTTCCGAATCGTCACGGTTACTTCGAATTGCGTGAAGTCTTGCCGGCCCCGAATACGATGCACGGCGAGCATAGAAAGAAGCTTGTTGAAATAGTCGTTCAACGGACGTATCTTCTGCCGAAAGAGGAGCCAGAAGCGGTAACAAATACATTTCGTCTTCTGCTGCTTTTGGCAATGAACGTTTGGCAACAACATAGATTCCCAACAGGATCAACACAAGACTCAGTGAATACAACACATAATGCCAGGTCGGTAGATGATCCATATCTCGAAAGAGACAAAGTCCAGAGATTGCACCGGCCATGATGTAACTTGCCTCGTAGAGATAAATCACCACCACAGCATCTTCAACTGCCAGTGCTTCATTCAAGAGGTACAAACCAAATAAAGCCGTTCCTATTGCTCCACTGATACAAACATAAGTCAATGGAAAAGACCAGATACGACTTGTTCCATTATCATGAGCAATTCTCATGACCGCAGCAAGAAAAAAGAGCTGGCCACTCATGACTCCAGCAAATACACTTAACGACACACGTGAGATCCTTGGAAGTTGATCAGGACTTGAAAAAACAGAAGAAGAAGAAGGAGAATGTCGGACTCCAGCTTGACGACGACTGGTTGTTGTATAATGTAGAGCATGTTTGGCATGATGAATCAAGAAACTTAGCAATATCAATAACAAGACACAATAGAATAGAAAAGAGAAAGAACGAAAGCGTTTACTTAGTCGTTCCATTGGTAGCGGTGAACTGTCGTGTGTACCCGAGACACCCACAAGCACACAGCCCGTAAATATAAGCACAGCTCCGATGAAATCATTGGTTGTAAGACGTTCATGGGGTAATAACATCGGACCTAAAAGTGTATTCCAGCCAATAGTAAGACCTGCCATAGGAGCCAAGAGTGATTGTGTAGCAAAACAATACGCAATAGCTCCAAGTGATGGATTCATGACTAACATGGAAAATAGACCAGTGTAGAAATAGATACAACCTAAATTTGTCTTGATTTTAGTATGCGTGTGATTTTTTTTCATCTCCTTCTCATCATCCTCATCTTCTTCTTGTTTCGCTCGTTCATTATGCGCTAATTTCAGTAATAACTTGCCTGTAATACCAAAGATACTGGAGATAGCAGAAAGCAGTAGACCCAATGGCCAACCGATAAACACCATCAGACTAAAAGGTTGAGGGAAGGTCCAAAATGAAGAATGAAGGTCAAGAATGAAGGTTGTATGCGTAAGCCAAGTAAGTGAATCCCACAAAATGTTGATGTGGTCGGATGATAGTCTAGACGGTAGGATTTGCAATTTGATTGGCTGAATGAATGTACAGAAACGCGATAAAATGTGGGAGACTCAGTTGCATGCGATAGTAAGTCGGCTAATAATTCGTTTGCAGGCGATATTAAATCTGGCAATGACTCGAGACATGAGTTTTTTTTGTCATTTTAGTATCATCATACAAAGTCATTTCTAAAACCTAAGTCCTGAAAACTAGTCAAACAAATAAAAAGTCATTATTATAGGTATGAAAAAAGACAGCATACCAAGTCTTTCGGTACTTTGATCGGTTGTAGACTAGAAAATAAAAGCAAGACTTGATCTTGGTCCAGTTTCAGATCATTCCAAGCTAATGAATGTTTCACGACCATCAGCTTGACAAGATCGTTCATACTCCTTGTACTGCGTCACAGTATCTCCTGGACGCCAGCCACCACGCTGTACGCTATGAATCACCAGATCAATAAGCTCACTAGTTCCATTACCGACAAGTTCTGCTGCCACTTGATTGGCCAATACAAAACTGGCCAAATGGCTAAGAGCAGGCTGACAGTCCGCGGGGTATAATGTACACTGTATTGAGTGCCGCTCTAGCCGCTTCCAATGCTTTTCAGGTGTATCCAATGCATTAGTAGTTACACTAAAATCCTCAATAAAGTTACGTAGGAACTTCCAGTCCTGGTCACCGTAAAACGTCTAGGTCTTGACGTCCCATACAGTCGCTGCGTCGGAAAAAGATAAAGCCGTTACGATCACACTGGTTTAAGAATACCAATTACTGGGTTGAAGACCTCACAGGCAAACGACAGACAGCAGTCTCAGGTACGCAATGAATAGTGTCACCAAGCGTAATTACTGCCAAGTTCTAGTCCAAGTTTGGCCCTAAATTTGGCCGTACTACGCACCAACTATCACCTTATGAGTTGCATCCAGTGCGCAGCCTTATCACGACGCTTCCCTACAAGACAACCCGCAAGATTATAGAGAATTGTCTGGTGCTCATTCCGGCCGCTGTTCTGTTGATGGACTTAACGCCAATGGTGAAGAGCACCGTATGCATTGGAGCTAAAAATTTAAAAGCAGAGATCAAAGCAAGTGCTCCAAATGCTGCTTTATCGGATGCAAGCTACGAGTTCATTGGGTGTGCAAAAATTTGGTCGGGAAACAATCGGCCTAGTAGCTAGAAAAGCAGGAAAATAAAGTCGTGAGTGTGCCGTGTAGCTTTTGTTTGTAAGTACAGCAGTGACATTTGCGAGTTTGTGTAGTTGCAGGGAATATTAAGCTCGAAGTAATTTAGAAAAAGAAGCAAATACCACATGTTGAACGAACAGCAACATTGACTCTACGCCTTGTTTGTTCTATGTGTGAGTAACAAGCATTAGAAGGCTGATATTGTATGATAGCAAAAAATCTAGGCTCAAATGCGTACCGAATGAAAGAAAAGGTAGTTGTTGCACTTCAAGAATGCGCCAGCTTTTTGTAGTGGTCGTATGATTACTACCTGTATCGAATGAACGTGACGACAGGCAACAATCAAGTAGACGGCAGCACTCAATCTTTGAATCGCTATCACTATAAGCCGTTCAAACTGCGCTGGCTATTTCAAACAAATTCAATATCACAAGGCATTCAGTTGTCGTATCTTTCTGTATTGTCAGATCATGGCAGGCGAATGTTGTCCGTCCGAATATCGAGCTTATGCCACTTCTACGGTGTTTATCTTTCTGTTCGGACCAGATCGGCTTTTAGATACATTCCCCCCAACGCTGATTATTCTGGTCGGAACAGATGAGCTGCTTTTAAGACCAGTCACACCAAAGGTGAAATCAATATTTTAGAGGCTTAGGAGTATGAAATACACACATTGGCAAACCAGCAATGTTTCATTTTATTAGCGACGTGAACCTTTCATTCCACAATTTTACTTAGCTTAGCATCAAGAACAATGACTCGCTGCCCCAATCGAGATTTTAGATGGATCGTAGTGTTGGCTGGTGTGGCTCTTTGTTTCGCTGTAACTGTATCCAGCACCCAGCATGTTCTAAGTGCTGATGCTCCAGCCGATTCGTCGGACGATGGATTCAAACGAATCGCAGCAAATGGCTTATTGATAGCAGAAGATCACATGTACTTGTCAGAATTTATCACGGCCGCTTTAAAAAACGTTGCAGGAAGATATAATGCGGGCGAGACCTGCACACACTCCAGATAAGATAAAAGTTCTCCATAATGACCCAAAAGGCCGCTATAGGCGAGTTGTTCACGAAGCGATTTCGTGGTGACGTTAGCAGGAAAGCAATTGCATAGCAGCTATACTTTTGGGTATCGGATGCATTATCCTATGGTCTCGCTTACTTTGATTCACACCTTGCAATGATCGAAACTTTGACTCGACGTCTTGGAAATGTGAGCTTGCGAAAACTGCTCGAAAATAGAAGGGATCTTTCCCTGAACAAACAAGTCTTCAACAATATGCGGCTAGCGCAAATGATATACTTGGGAAAGCAAACCAATGTGAGACGTAGGGATGTCCTTAAGTTACTTCATTTTGATGAAGTAGGCCAAACGAACTGTGATAATTCTCTTTCGACGACTGGGGTACATAATGCGTATTTCGACGTATACATCCTATTGAGTTCCTGATCAAGACGATGGGAAAGCGACTTAACGGAAGGATGATTGCTCTTATTCTTGAAGATCCCGCGAGTGGTCTTGCCCGTGACAATGTCTTTTCGCTTGGGATGGCGCTGCTCAAGTACAAAAATAAATCTCGATCCCCTAACGCCGCGTTTTTGTTGATGCAGCTCAATCGCAAGGGTTGCTTGATACGCCGCTTATTTACTCCGTGGTTAATGCACATGAAAGATATAATAAAGCAGGATGCTGTAACATTTTTCGTGGTTGGCAAACTGAAGGAATTGTACACGACGAAGGCTGAAGTTGTTGCCGCGCTAGACGTAGCAGAATTTCAACAGCAGGAGTTGGTGGATGAAGGTGAAAGAATTTCCGGCAAGATGGTAAATTTAGGCGGCTGATGGTTTTCAGCGGAACAAGGACAGAGAGTAGGCTTTTGAAGATTAGGTATTAGCTCTTGATCTTGTTTGGTCGCTTCCACTCCTAGTTGCAGTAGTTTACAAGTGTAATCAAAGCTGAGTTTGTTTGCATTCTATACAGCTGTTAGTTTACGCAGCAGTGCAACGTAGCGACTGACCTTTAAGTTTACTTGCATTACTAAGGGGAAGATAATAAGGTAAAGTTGTTTATATCAGTATATGCTGCTACATTATCTACCGCCACTTGTCTGCCATATCCACAATCACCAAGCGTACTTATTTTTTCCGCCAAAATCTACACAAACGAAAAAGGTGGCACTTACAAGCAAGCGTTCATGCGCCGCTCCAGCTTCAGCTCCATCACCTAGTCTACATTTATCGGTGGCCTCACACCTCATGAGTTTCATTTGCAAATCAGCGCACTACACGACTTTGCTTCGTTACTGTCCGGCTACTTCGGTAGCTCCCTCAGCTGGGTCTGCGTCCGTAGTCACGTTCTTTACATATCAATGGTAGCTCATCGCACCGACACAATGGGCGGGACTACCTACAATATGACCATAACCCGTCCCGGACACGTGATGAAGACCATCGTAATGAAGACCATCGTGATGACGTTATCGTGATGCTACCCAGCCCTTATCTAAAGCTACGCAGTCGCTCAACTACGTTGTCGCTCAGTACTGTACCGATCGTTGTATCTGGACTCAGCCTCCTCAGCGTTTCCTTTGACCTGGACGAGTCAAAAACGCCACTTTCTGCCGCATACGCGTCCTACTGGACCTAACGGTGCTGTTTCAATGAATGTAAGCTACGAGTACATTGGGAAGTGCAGGAATTTGGTCGGGAGGCAACCTGTCTAGTAGCCAGAAAGGCAGGAAAATGAAGTTGTGAGTAATGCCGTGTAGCTCGTGATTGTAGGGTACAGCAATGACATTCGCGAGTTTGTGTCGAAATAAATCCGAAAAAGAAGCAGCAGATTCTATGTTTGACTGCAACCTGTTCCCACAAAGACTGGTGTTCATATTGTGATGATCGTGTGCACTACATCAACTGTATGTCATCCTCATTGTATGGAGGTTCCATGTCGAGATCCATAACTCTATGCTTAGAAAGAACTTTGAAAGCATTTCAGTGCATCATTCCAGTGGCCATTTCCATATTGGTGGCACTCCAAGACTTCCACCATGATAAACTATACGCACGTTGCATCATTGACTAGCAGTCACGTACTTTCGCCATCGTCGCTGAGTTCAAAGCGAGTCAATAGCGTTTTGCAGCATTACTCGCACCTTGTGCGCCAACCGTCAACAAAGCCCTGATTCTACAGCAAAAGTACAAGAAGGAACAGCAGCGACCGAGGCTGTACAGAGCCGATAAGATAGACGACGCACTGATGTCTGGTGGAGCGACAGATGCTGTCCCTTGTTTATCGTCGGATGAATACGGCCTCAGCGCTTCGAGACTTGCTCGCGGTGGTGGTGTCTATGCGCTCTTACGTACCGGGTGATGGCCACAGCATGAGTGTAAAAGCTACATCGAAACTGACGAAGGAGATGGACAAAGCAGCGCAAGTGATGGAGACATTTCTGTGTGCAAAGCTGTTGAAAGACCAGTCCAGTCCACACGAGCTATTGGCTGAAGCGTATGGGTTGGTGTTTTGCTACCATGTACAAATTGGGATTCTTGTTTTCGGGCAAGATTGGAACAGGTTTTGTCATTTCGCGTACGACTGGAGAGTAATCAGCACGAAGCTTTTTGACATCAGAAGGTTCTGGCTTCGGTATGATGGCTGACGGTGAAGTTGTAAACTACATGATCATTCTGAGTTCAAGGAGTGCTGTCAAGGTCTTTACGAGAAATGGTCAAGTGCAGCTAGCGTCGGAGCTTCATTTTGCGGTAGGGCCTATTGGTCGAGCGGCTAACGCTGCAACAATCGTTGGGCGTGGTAGTGTTGTACCAAATTACTCATACAGACATAGCAAGGGATTTTACGGTAGCATTGGTCTTAGTGGCGGTGTCATTTGCACGCGCAAGTCGCTGAACGCGAGGTGCTATGGCCCTCGGCAGATTTTAGGTGGAGAAGTAGCGTGTTCGTTAGCTTTGCCACTTTGGAAAGGGCTGGACAAGGCGCCTGGTATCCAGCGTGAGTACGTAAACGGTTTTCCCGTTCTGGCACTCACGTATACTGGGATAGCATGTGATTCATGTAGCCATATTCACTTGTCCAGGACAACCCGTATGCGTGTGCAAACTGCGGAAATTTGCTGGTCTACAGTGTTAGCGTGCACTCAGGAAGGCTTAACACGAGCCAAGTCATTGCATCAACATTGACAACTGACTTAAGAGCGGGGAGAGTGAGTCACATCGGGTGGTTACCAATTTACCAAAATTAATCTCGACTAGCGCTGCTTTCTGTCGTAGCGTGTTATAGGTCACGAATCCCGTTGCTGACGAGGTGTGTACTTCGTTGTATGATTGATATCTCCTGAGATATTCATGATAGCAAGTCTTATGGTGTATCCTTCCTTAGTCGTCATAGGACGGGATCTGATCATAATGGTAGCCTTTCCAACCCTTCCATGCACCATAAAGCTGATAGGTAGCATAGCTGCCTGGTATGAAGGCTGTAACAGTATAACCCACACAGATAGTGTACGTCAGTATATAACAATACCAAGTACAGCTCGCCGTCGTGTCTTACCAATGAGTCCAAGGCTCAGGATAGACAGTCCACGATTCTCATCGTCTAGACCAATGAGTATACTCATGTAAATCAAAATCGATCCCAGGATCAAAAGACTTATGGCTGCTAGTCCTGTACGAAGTGGAAAATGCTTTCGTCGAAAGCTGAAAGGCTAAACAACATGAACAGTAAGTAGCTACAATTGGATTTGTCCGTATACACTATTTTAATAATAAATTGAATACATATCAACATACAGTAGCAGCCCCTGTTTCAGACGCATTTCCCTGAACCAACGACGCTAACTCAGAGTCTTTCACGCTATTGCGTTTTTGTACGTAATGGCCGTCCTTTGCCATACCTTTTCTTTCTCTCTCTGCGCTCCTCAACATGGCTACATTCGATTACATTTATGCAACATTTACAGCACTAGCATCCACTCGTGTCACATTCTTTTCTTCCCGCCAAAAAAAAACCAACAAAAGTAATCGTCGAAATGCCCTTTCGTCCTACTCTCGTGTGTGTAGAGTGTGGAGCGTCTGTGACTGAATTAATCCGTGACTATGGCAAAGGAAATCTGCGTCTTGCAATATGTACTGCATGTAATGCCGTTGCTGATAAGTATGTTGAATATGAAACGATCTTACTCTTCCTTGAAGTCCTATTGCTCAAACCTCAAGTCTATCGTCATATTCTGTGCAATTTACCAGTCCCCGTCTCATTGAAAACAACTCTCAAGCTCTTTGTGATCTTAGTGATGCTAGATATGAATGTTAAAGCCTATTTAGTCGACCGAGACGCTGGTGTGACCTTTCATTCGGAATCAATGTACAAAACGCCTGACGCGCTTCAAGTGACGACATCTGGGCTTCGCATTGGACAGTTCTCACTACATTTAGTGTGTCTTGCACTATTGGAGAATGTCGTGTATTTTATTGCTGTGTTTGCAGCAATTTGGCTTGATCCATTTCGTCGTGGATGGAGAGCAAAGTTGCTGTCAAAAGGAGCAACGGAAAGTGTCGACAATGGTGTTGACGCCCCCTGGACGAAATATGGCAGTGCAATGTGTATTGCAAGTTTTGGCAAACTGTTTGCAGTCCTGACGGTGATTTGGGAGTTTCATTGGAGCTTTGTTCACGTTCTTGGAGCGCTTGTAGTAGTGTCACATGTGCTGGCACTGCAGTTGATGATGGGAGAGGGAGACCCAGCACAAGTAAAATCGCTGCATATCATCGCCGTTGTCGTGTTTGGATTGATGGCAAGAGGGTTTGCACAGCTTGCCCTCTATGCATTCGGCAATTCGGTGCTCTTTCATGTACTGGTCTAGCTGTAGTGACAGTTCGTCATGTGCTTTTGGTTGTAAAGGACTCTTTGGGCACTTTGTTGCAAAGAAGAAATAAAAGCTGTGACGTTTTATGCTTAGGGACTTGGACTTGTATGGAGAGGTAGCACGGTGGGGTAAACATTGTGAACAACAAGCCCTTGTTCGCGTCTTGAATAACGTGATAAGTATCTCAAGATAAGCACGTTGAGCGATCGACCTTGTCTGCAGCTTAATGAGTTACAGTTGTCTTTATCTCGCTAGCTCAACAAACTTAGAGGAGAGTGCTTGGAACGAGTGGAGCAACGTGGACACTATCAGGTATAGGACGAGTTTGTTCGATGAAAGTTCTAAATTGACGGAGGAAATGCAGCAAGAGGAGCAATCTCACGAGAGCTTTTAGAAAGTTGCTTGATGCATCTCATCTGTCCTCAAAGCAGCAACCGCCAAACCACCAAGAAGCGCGCTGTCCACACTACACGGATGGAGACCCGCTTTACATATACAAAACTACGTGACCCAATCGATCCTGTCCACACTATCCGAGCATGTTTGGGTAGAACGAAAAGCATTGTCCCACATTGCTGCAAGAAGCATTCGCCCCGTTTCAGTAAATATACCTCGGTGAGAAACAGTAAGGGATCAACGAACGACATTACTCGCGGAATAGCAGCAGGACCGACCTACACAACATGTGCGGCGCCTAATTTATACCGTAACAAACAAGTCACAATAAATCATCGACACTGCAAAGTCTCGTCCGTAAAAAGGTTGACGCAGAGAGCTTGCAACCTCTCAGGAATGCAAGGCAACATTGCGTCAAGTATCTCAAGAAACTGCCAGGACTCCATTCACTCGTTAGCTTCATAAGCTAAAGAAACGAAACGATATCACGTATACAGTCACGTCTCATCATATCTCACTTACCTCAGGGAGTTATGGCATAATCCTTCGCAAGATGACTCATTTGCCCCAGTTGAATCGCAGCACGTTGCATTCGCTGTACATCTGCAGTCGCGTGGCGTCGTTTCTCTTCCACAACCCGCTGCAAATCCTTATTCTTCGTCTCTAAAGCTTCCACTAGTCTCTCGAGTTCCTTTTTCTCTTCTTGCTTTGCACGTAATCGTTCTGCTCGAATCCAAGCTTCCGGTGTTGTCTTATCCTTTTCTTTCTCTTTCTCCATCTGATTCTCCTCTTTCTCTTCTTCTCGCTGTTTCTTTTCCACTTGATGCAGTCGTCGGTCTTCTGCCTGACGAATAACATCTTCCAGCTCTAGCAGCTCTGTCTCCACGTCATGTGTCTCGCAAAGCCACTGAAATATCGTCTCAACCTTTTGTCGTAAGCTCATTACCGCCTGTGCTGCTACTTCTTCCGTATTATGCTGTTCCAAGCTCTCTGGTGTAGGAGGAGGGAAGAAAGCACCAAGAAGCTCTTCATCTCCGCGACATTCACTCTCCAGACACGCACGTAGATCCACAAGTGACGCCGAATGTACCGACACTTCCAGCGCTTTCTTTAGAATTAATTGCATACGTTTCATACGTACAGACTCACGTCGCTTGACCGTAAGAGACGACGGCGCTGGTGATGGCGGGACCTCCAGCATCTTGGTCGACTATTTGATAGTATCTACCAATAAACAACAGCGAAAAGCCATACTACTACTTTTGTAATAGTACTACTACTACTTTTTGTAATAGTACTCCTTTTGTAGTAGTACTATTATGAAATATGATTTGAAAAATCATATAATGTCGATTCATTTTCGGTTTTGAATACGAACAATTCATACAATATCAACCACCTGAATCTTTTTTTGGACGCTAGAGATCCGTAGTAAGAACATCATGTGGTTCTCGGCTCGACGACAAAAGCTGCAGCTACTTGTTATCATCTTCTTCATCTTTGTAGCATTTGCAGCGTCTAACGCTGCCTGGATGCTCTGGGTTTGTGTGCTGTAAAAGAGGAGGTTTTATAGAAATTCAAACTTACACTTTGGTATTGTTATGATCATTTCTGTAGGCCACGCTGGTCATTTTCCTTACAATGCTTCTCATGACGGATCTTCTATTTCTAAATGAAGGAGATTTCAAATACGATCCAGATTACAAGGTACTATAATTTAGAACACGTTACAAAAAAAGAGATTAGAAAATAGTACTTGTATTTTCTTTTCTCTAATACTACTATTTTACCTGTTCTTACAGAATTGGGCACGTGCCGTGGACCCAAAATAATCAAAAGCTGACCAAAAAAAATGAAGAAAAGACCGATTTTACTCACAAGTGACAATAGGATGGCATGAATGTTGCAAGAAAAGAAGAGAGGACAATTATTATAGCACAAGAAGAAGACAAAAAGAATCGATGCGTTCGTTACAAACCATGGGACTAACATTCTCTCTTTTTTTTAATGTTGACGTCATCTTTTTTTCAATAGACGATTGCGTAATAGCGTGAAAACACCAGTGTTGCAAACATGAGAGCATCAATACGATCTAAGAGACCACCATGACCAGGAATCAATGTGCCTGAATCCTTCACTCCTGCAGCACGTTTGAGTAAACTCTCAAAAAGGTCTCCAATACGTCCAATAATGACGGCAATGACAGTGAAAAGGACCTTTGTACTCAATGAACCAGGAATATTCAGTACATGTGATGACACGATCATGGCAATGATTCCAAATCCAATGGCACCAATGGTTCCTTCGTAATCTTTGTTTTTGGATAAATGAGCTGCAAGGGGATTGTAGTACGGATATTTCAAGAGTGACAAGGCCTTGCCAGTGATATAAGCACCAGTGTCAGAAGCCCAGACGACGTAAAGCAGAGCAATGAGTAATTTGCGGTAAAGTATTCGGCGTTCGTCGTCCACGAACGCAACGAGCACTGATAAGGTGCCAATAATGTAGATTAGACCCAGCGTATCCAGCATAAATGCTAAAAGCGCTTCGACATTGCTCTGACATGTAGCAAATCGAAACACAAGGAAGACCACCATACCAGTGAGAAATGTCTGCGAAGGTGTAATTGCTGTATGACAGGAAATTTCGTTAATGGGGCATGTCGTTGAATGCAGAGTCAAAATCGTAAAGATGGCATTTTGGAGGAAGATAATGACTGAGTAGTGCCAGTCTGGAGAAAGACAAGCACATATTGCCGCAACAAAACCTGTCGCGACGGTGTAAAACCACCGAGACTTGTACAACTCGGTTGACTCGAGTGCTGGAAATCCTTGGATCATGAGAAGAAAAATACACGACGAGATGGTGCACAATAGTGCAGAAATGCACAGCACCGCAAGCCACTTGTGTCCTCCAAAGACATACTTGGCCACATCCGTCACTGCACATTGCTGTAACCTCGCAGCTTGTTTCTCTAACTCACGATTCACTCGAGCAAGTTCCCTTGCCTCCTGTTCGTCTTGAAAAGCTCGAGACGTTGTCGTTCTTGTTGCATATCTGTCGCCATCGTGTGATAGCCTTTGATGCAGTCTTGCGTCTGCAGTGCTGTCGAACATAAGCGTGCGGCTAGCAGTCACGTCATCGTCAAATGGTCTACTGTCGACAATGCTACTGCTGCTGCTCTCATTGTCAACATAGCTGCTGCTGCTCTCACTATCGCTTCGTGTATCATGTTGTGTTGTGATGATGTTCTGCGCAGATCTACTTGTATTCGAATTGGAGCTCTCAATGAATTCCAGCATGGTCAATAATCGCAGTCGAATGCGATTTGCTAGACACGCGTATTCGTACGAGCAAATACTGGTCATAAAGCTACAGACGGTAGACGTCGCAATTGCTGGTGATAGCCATAGGAAGACCGTGATTCCTGGTGCTAGTATCGCCGCAGATAATATGCGCTGGACCATATTATATCGTAAGATAGTAAGGCAGTAACTCGTGCTATCGTTTGAGTGATGGCTAATATTGTCATAAGAGCTCTCGAGTGGAGAATTTTGCACATCTGTCGTGCACTGCGGCATGATTAGAACGTAGTAGATCTGATTGTATCTAGTGCTTGCGTGAAGTCGAAGCAAATCTCATTATCGTCACTGGGGTCATTGAGACGGGTACACTACTATATCGATTGAATGCATATAATATGGTGAGAAGAGCCACCATGTTGCTGAGACGGACGTTCGAATCGATCAACATTCTGACGTTGCAGTAAACAACAGGTTATTTCAAAGGGTGAGCATATAGTTAGTCCTTCTCATACGGATACTACGACTAGTAGTAGTAGTAGTACCCTAAGGTACTTTTCTTGTTAGTCCTTGTGCACGACTGTAGTACATAGTAATCGCGTGATATCCAAGATAACCAAGGCAAGTTAAGTATCAATGCGACCATGCGGTTTAAGAATCCTACACGGCTTGGAATAAGTGCACGGGTGTCTTCAACACGTGCTTTAACTCGAGCAGGTTTTCATCAACAGCAGCTAGAACCGTAAAGCCACCTTTCATGCAATAGAAATCTCTCGGACTGTCTCACTTGTTTTCGGCAGCTTGCCATCCAATGCTGGCAATCTTACGGTTAGTGAACGAATTGTGTCGCACTATTGTTGACCTTGGAGCCTGATGAACGGCATCGTGGCCTCAACACGAAAGGCTGGCGTTGCTATGGTCGTTTGTTGACGTAGTATCAATGAACCCAGAGCGGTAGCAAAAACCGACTCTGTAGCTGCTTCCAAACTTACCGTCACCATGATTGGCTGCCACTAATCACGGCAGCTACATGCTGGTAAATCATTTCGTACTGTTCCTAATATTGGATAGCAAGACATTCTGTTAAGAGCAACAAGACTTTACACTTGCAGCAGCAAGATAACGTACCGGGGTTTGTACCATACCAGGTCGCTGTGATCGCAGGTGGTATACTACACGTGGAATATTCATCGCATGTTGCAGCGCGCGTGTCTTCTCTTCAACATTGTCGCTCTTGTCCGTAAGCACTTGATGCAGTTGTCGATACAGTATATCAATTGCAATGAACGTGCCAGAGCGCCCAATACCGGCACTACAATGCACGATGACTCTGGTCTCAACTCCATGATACATCCGTGATGCTTCACATCGGTACCGATTCATGGCATCAAGTATTGGTGCAATGACTTGAAAGTCACGTATGGCGCCATGATCCGGCCACGTCGTTAGCTGAAGATGTCGAATCACTCGACTCTCACCTTCTTGTCCCTTGTCATTAACTTGACAGATTTGAAATCTTCTCATTATATAGCCCACTCTCAATGACGATGACTCTTCTTCTTCTTCTTCCAGCAATATCACACGAATTCCACCAAACTCCACAGCTTTCTTCAAACAAGTATCCCAATACAAATCCGCTTTTACTCGTTTTCGTTCAATGAAATTCGTGAGCATAAGTATGACATGGACATTACATTGCCACACCATGTGCCAAAAGTCTCGCATGGCGACAGGAACGGGTGCAGAACAAGCAATATATCCACCATCAATATAATTGGCATTGATATAATCATTATCTTCTACCGTGTTTTGTAACTTGACACGTGTTTTGTCAATTGGCAACACATCTTGATATCGATTTTTCACCCTTGTTTTTCGAGTCTGTAACGTTAACGAGGTTTTATAACCCGGTGCTTGATCAATACTTGCACAAAGCTTCATGTATTCCCGTTCAAAACCAGAGACACGTTTGTGATTCTCATGGTGTTGGAGGCATTGCGTCTTGGCTAGAAATGAATCAAAAACTGCATTCATTGCTGATGGAAAACACGTACTTCGATGCCGCAGTAGGTTGCATAATGATGAAAGACAGTACTCATCGACTGCTAAACAAGGTGATAGCGACGTCATAGTCGTGTGGGACGGTCGGTCACCTATTATGTCACCACACAATCAAAACCTCAAAAAAAACACGGCTGGAGTATATATATAGTGTGTGATACATGAAGATAGGTCAGTACTGCAGTCGGGTAAAATAAATGAAAGATATTTGTATCTATTTCTCACTTGACAGGAATGATTGCGGGTGACTCTACCTGTCTGATAATTCCTAAGGGTAGCATTAATCAATCCATTGAATCGAATGTCAGCAAGTAATCGATCTTTTGATCATACGGATCATATCCAACACCGTTGGCGACGGTTTTTAAATCGTGATTCAAAGGGATATGTCGGTTTTTCAATCATCGCATGTGGGCTGCATTTTGTCAAAGTGATCAATTCACACACAAAGAATACAGGTATTGCATACTTGGCTAGAAGAACAGCCAAACATCTTCCAAAGCTGATGATGTATCCTTTAGTACTTGGTGTTCCTGGTGCGGAACTCTTGGCATGGGGAGCGTCGTATCTTAACCACGGCAAGGATAATAACTCGAGCAAAGTCGCGCGTAACGCGACATTAGTCCCTGCGGTATTTACCGTGTTCGGTAAGACGTTAAATACCGTACACCCTTTGGTCGGTCGTTTGCGACGTTTGCGTGGATGGTTTCGTCCGGTGAAATGGGGCGCAATTGGTCTGGTGCTGGACAATGTTGTCCTAAGAAAGCTTATAACCGCTCGATCGGAGCCTGATGATGCTTCACAATGCGAAAAAGACGAGAAAAAAGTGTCATTTTGGAAAAGGCATGGACCTCAGTGATCTTGATTCCATCATTGCTGGCTTTAGAGTCTAGAGTTGCATTACAATGGATGACACACAGAAGCTGGCAAAGTTTTATATTTACCGTGGAGATCAAGCGACAGGAAACATCTTGTTCAGTGTCATATACTCCATTCATTTTTCATGTCGATATCTCTTCGTCCATCATGTTGTCGAGCTTTAGGACGTTACAGCATAGAAATGTGCCATGCCGTAACTACTACATAACCTCATTGTATACTGTTCGTTTACTAAAGGAGCATCTTTATAACAAGTCAAGCGTCAGAACGCCAACTGTATCACTACCGTGAAACTCTTTCGTCAAGAAAGAGATACGTTGCTTCCATTGTAACGCACAAACTCGCTCACTATGTATCCAATGGTATACTTAATGAAAGAGCGCATGCGGTCATCGTTTTAGAAATAGAAACGACTAGGGAGGTCTGATTTGGTACCATGGCTACATGTAGCCATCCGACGACTCAATTTTTTCCAGTATCAAGAATTACCATTCCAGCCATGGCACGTCGTCGTAGTCGTAGTTTGTCGCGTTCTCCTGGTCGTTCTCGACGTCACGTGCGTTCATCTTCATCATCTCGTCATTATCAAAGCATTTCTTCATCACGTCATCGCAGTAGAAGTCGCAATCGACGTCTAGACGCTGCAGTATCGTCGAAAACCGATGAAAAACATGGTGAGATTTGTCTGAGCATTCAAGAGACGAATCAATTGCGTCTTTCGTTGGGTTTAAAGCCACTTTGTGTGGGATTATCAAAGAAAGAAGAAGAGGTTGTCAATGTACAAAAGACAAGCGCTGAGATTGACGCGGAACGAGCGCACGAGGAGCTAAAACGGAAGGTACGAGAGTCCAAGACTAGACGAGAATTAACTCAGAAAGTAGCAGGAAAATCACTTGGACAGGAGCTAAGAGAAGACTTGGAAGCTCAAGCGAAGAGTCAGGATGCTCTGGAATGGGTGAGAAGGATGAGGAAACAGGCAGAGAGAGTAGAGGAGGAGAAGAAGAAGAAGAAGAAGGAGGAGGAGGAGAAGGAGGGAGGACGACAATTATGACGCTGCTGCGTTGGCAGGCATGACAGTGGGACATTCATTGGATACTTTTGAAGAAGGAGAGGAGGTTGTGTTGACGCTAAAAGATACGAGAGTGTTGGGACAAGACGGGAACGATTTAAATGAAGAAGACGATGAACTGGTGAACGTCGAGTTGAGTGAGAGAGATCGACGTTTGGCACAACAGGCAAGAGCTAAACGAGCGTTGATGCCAGTGTATTCAGGATATGATGACGATGAGTTTATTGAAATGGGGAGTTTGAGGAAGATAAAGAAGAAGAGTGGAACCAAGTTACTTGCACAGTATGATGAAGATGAGGATGCAGCAGATGCTGAAGCAGCGAGAAAATTTAAACTGGATGCGTCAGGAGGATCAGCAGTGTTGCATAAAACGAAAGAGGAGGAACGGGATGAAGACGTGGCGGTGATCTCACTAGCAATGAACCGAAACAAGCGGCTTGATGATTACTACACAAAAGAAGAAGTGGACGCACAGTTTGCGAAACACAAGAAAAGCAAGAAGCTGCGCAAAAAAACGAAAAAGAAATTACGTCGTCGTCATGATGAAGATCTCGACGAAAATGATACAATTGAGGTGCAAAGCGGTGGTGAAGCTGCATCTCTCGTTGCCCAGCTAGAGCAAGAGGCTCTCCAGGCCGGTACATCAGCGTCTAGAGACCGCGGGAAGCGCAAACGTGACCGTCATGAGGATGAAGACGCTGATGAAGAGATAAGCCTTCTTCATTTTCAGGAAGCACGGGAAAAAGCAAGTGCGGTAGCATCGGAGGCGCTGGCTGCCAACGTCAGCAAGAAACGTATGAAAAGAAGACCGATTGACGATGACGAGATCATAGATGATGCTGCCGCGATTGATAGAGAGCTTAGCGCTTCGCTAGCTCGTGCTCGTCAGGCGGCACATCAACAAACTAAATGTCAGGTGCCATTAGTTCCGACGACAAGCGAGGACCGGATTGCGCAGCTTGCGAGTCAAACTATAAGCAAGGAGAAAGACGTGACCACTGCACTTGGCACAGACAATGGAGGGGACGTCATAACGGATAATTGCGCCAGCCTTAGCAGTGAGTCTGTTGGTCACGTGTTTGGCGAGGTTGGCACTACATCAAACGCCGTGGTGTTTAACGAGGCTACCGACTTCGAGACGCGGCTGCGTGACGCCATGGAAAAGCGTGCAGCTCAGTTCCAGGCTACACCTAGAGATGCTACAGTGCATAACGCGTCGATGACTACGAAATCTTACGATGAAGAGCATAGACAAAAAGAGGACATAGCAGCTGTTGAAGAGAAGAAAGCAGAGGACCATAGTGAGGACGAAGAGACTAAGGAGAACGAGGTCTGGGGTGAGGAGCAGCATCTCGTTGGAACAGGAATGGGTGCAACCCTGGCGTTACTACGCAAGACCGGAGACCTGCGCCAGACTCGTGTTGAACGACAGGCTGGTCGTGCCAACGATGCACGCGATCGCAGCTTTGAGAATGACTTGCGTATTCGAAACGGTGTGAAGCTGGATTACCGCGATGAGTTTGGTCGTTTGCTTACGAAGAAGGAGGCTTTTCGCATGTTGTCGTACAAGTTTCATGGCCAAGAACCTGGAAAGAAGAAAAAGGAGAAGCGATTGAAGCAGCTCAAGGAGGAACTTGAGGCGCAGAAACTACTCTCTGGGGAAGGCAGCACGAAGATGATGAAGGTGCTTGAGAAGAAGCAAAAGCACACGAAAGAAGCGCATGTTGTGCTGTCGAGTGGAGTATAGCAACCATGTATTTGCGTCCTCAAGTGATGTGTAATGATGCGTTGGCACACAACATGTTCTTTAGATGCATGTGGTAAGGTGCGAAAATGCCATGAAGTCGCAGACATGTTTTGCTAATGTTGTCTGTTACTTATGCCGACTCTTACGTTGTCATGTGCCATGATTTGTAGCATATTCCACTGCTTGCTTTCTCTCAAGATTTCATCAATGTTGTCACATAATACGCATTCAATTTGAGGAGACTAACAGCGACAACTCTTTACAAGGATCCATATGACCATAGTTTTGCTGCTAGACACCCACAAGAAGTTACCATGGGCATTATAAACTATATTTATATATATATGGTCAGCCGTTATGCTCGAAGCATGCTAGTACATATCAGCACCAGGTACTCCCATGTACAACAACGATACTCACCAGTTGTCCACCACTTGAACATCAGCATTTGACACCTTCAACTCAACTCATTCGTATGTTTGCACTGATCGAAGATAGCGACACTTTGCAATAAACCAACATATGTACATCGGCATCAATACACATCCTGCTCTTCCTCTTCACATACTTTGCAAAGTGAGTTTGTACGCTCTCGAGCCACGACGACTGACACACAAACATCACTAGCGCTCGGTTGCACGTCTCCCTCGTACTCGCCGCGACGCAATTGATTGGCAAACGTGACTGGAAGTTCCGAGTGATTCGGTGTCGTTGCCGCCACGTACCCGTTACATCGTTCAACTGTCATTTTGCTTGCTCGTGCATTCTTGCTAATGCTCCAGTTTATACAATGTCCACCAAACCTCTTTAACCCTTGTCTACGAGCAGCAGCACCTTCTGGATCAATAAAATCGCCAAGATGAAGACCTTGTTGCATATCATGGTGTACCTCACGAAACATACGAACAACTGTAGCCATCATGATGACTTCACCAGCATTTGAAGATACTGCATAGATTGGAGATGGCATGAGATAGCCGATAAGCAATGCCATGGCACCTATAAACATCCAAATCCAGGGATTAAAACATGTCGCATGGACCATGTACGAGTGATGAGTCCCGTAATTCCAAAGCTGTAGACCAATATAAAGTGCAAGTAGCACGAGACTTAGTGCCGGTAGAATAGCACTGACCATATGAGCTCGATGATCCCCCTGAAGCTCATAGAAACTCGTTATTTCAAGCGATAGATCCGATGTCCAATGGTACGCGACCAGTAAATTAAGTACCAAGAGAATACAGCTTAGAATCCACACCATCAGTCGTAAACACGTTGATAATCGAAACCAATAGCTCGTCCATTGATTTCCAGTCTTTTCCAAGCTCTTGTCACGTTCAGATTGAAATAAAATGCCACAGAAATTCACACATTTGTGTTTATGAACTAGATACGCTAATTCATAGCATACGAGCAATAAAAGAGGCACGATGCACGCATGAAATGCCAACATTATTTGTGTAGTAATGCGACGTCGGTCGATTCCATTTGTAGCCATAATGGTATTATCAAGGATTAAACAAAAACCAAGAAATGGCTACAGTATCATATCAAGACAATAAGAACAAAACAGCGCGTTAAAGTATCGTACCATATAATACAGTTTTCAAATACCAAATAGAGTTGAATATATATCGCTAAATGTTATACCGTTAAGAGGAAAGCAGCAGTTGTGGAATATTGCTTGGCATATCCGAGAGAATAGTAGAAAAGGATACTACTAATGACAACAAAGCACCAAAAGATAGGAAGAAGTTCCGGCATAACGTGCACTTCATCCTCATTCGTGAATGTCATTTCTTACGTGGTGGTTCTTGTTTGTTTGTGATTGATTTCTGACTGTTGTCGTAGAGATAACAAAGGGAAAAGCCAAGTCCATTATGACGTTCAGTGACGTTCAGTGACGTTCAGTGACGTCCAGTTGATAGAGAAAGATCCATCAATCGATGGGAGAGAACAAAGCATACGAAACCAGAGGCATTAGAAACGTTCTAAAAGACTTGCACAAGACGACTGAACGTTCTTATCAACAGGCGACTTGGTGACTCTATTCATAGAGTCATTCATGAACAGGCCAACTTTAAATCGACTCTATTTATAGAGATATACAGTCGACTCTATTGAGCGTGTTTTTTAGAGCAAACATAGTAAACGTACTTACTCGAATCAACAAAACATGTCACAAATTCTAAAAGAAACGAGATTCATGTATTATCAAGTTTCACAGATTTATAGGATCCTTCACTCATCATCACATTTTGTTATTGTCAAACCTTTCTGTTTATATTTTGTATGACAAAGTCTTTTATCAGTTTTTAGAAGAAAACAGAAATAACAAGAGTTTATCTTCTGACTACTCTTCGTCTTGCTGTAGTATATGTGCACACTTTAATTCTCGTACACCCACTCGTCATCATACGCATTCCAATCAATGACACCTTCTGGAAACCACAAAGTAATTTCCTTATCAGCTGATTCAACCGAGTCCGAGCCGTGGCATACATTACGGCCAACGTCCACACAAAAATCGCCACGGATCGTACCAAGAGCGGAATCCATAGGTTTGGTAGCACCCAACATCTTGCGAGCCTCTAGCACGACATTCGTGCCTTCCCAGACCATACAAGTCACTGGACCAGAGCTCATGTATTTAATGAGCGCTGGGAAGAAAGGGCGACTAGACAAGTCCGAGTAATGGGCTTCTAAGTGTTCCACGGATGGACGCACCATTTTAAGAGCTACGAGCTTGTAGCCCTTTGTCTCAAAACGCTTGATAATCTCACCCACTAGGTGACGTTGGACACCGTCTGGTTTAATCATAATATACGTACGTTCACGAGGCATGATACTTAATGGAGTGACTGGTCCACGATGAGAGAAAGAAAGATGCGACTTGATGCAGAGTAAGATCTTTAAGGAATGACGCACGGCGTGATAACCAATGCATTTCATGATATAATTTTATGTATCGTACATAAAACATAGTTGGGTGGGTTTTCAACGAATCATTGGACGCGGATGGATTGAATTGCAACACGAATCATTGAATCGATCAAATATTGGAATTGGTTTTTATCCTCTGCTAATTCATACGAATCGCAGAAAAACTAGAATAATGAATGATGGGGCTGCACCTTGTTTTTGAGCAACTTAAGCGGTGATCAATCTTCTACAGGCGTTTGAAATGCGAAGCCACAAGAAGTCGAAACGTCTCATTCTCGTCAAGATTGAGCTCTTCCAGCATTTTCTCAGCATGTAGCACTAAGATTGGGTCGACTTCAACAATTGTCTCATCGTAGTTAGCACAGGCACGCAATACACGAAGCAATGCCTCGCTATGTGGATGATCCAATGCAAATCCATAGAGTTGAAAGGCACGTTGGATTGTTAAAGCTCGAGGACAATACTTGCACGTACATAGATAATCTTCCAGGCTTGATTGATGGGGAGCTACAAGCAAGGCAACACTTGTTAACAAGGATATATAGAGCAATAAAATAAGATGCTTGTCGCACTTTCGTCGAAAGACTGTGTGCGGCGTAATGATGACGTTTGTGACGTACTGCTGTCACACGTTGGCGATTGCCTGCCACGCAAATTTATTCCTGGTCCAAAAGATGCAAGAAACAACAGTCAGTATAAAAGACCTATTGGATTCATTTCCATCCATGATGCTGCACCTACCTGAACGAGGGCACGAGTTGGGTGCAGGCAGCAACGCTCGTGCCTCTGAAGACATGTCATTCTCCTCTTCTTGATCATTATGGATCACTTCATCATCATCTTGATCCTTATGGATCTCTTCATCATTTTCTTGATTGTTATGGATCACTCCATCATCTTCTTGATTGTTATGGATCTCTACAATGCCATCAAAAGCGACAAGCTCTTCGGCCGATTGATCCTCTTGATCACGTTTGATTGGTATGGAGTTCGGAGTATCCGGGAAAAAAATCATACTTCCACCCTCGGTACTGGATACATGGTCATCAAGGTCCATCGATAGTGATGGTTCATAGTCGTACATGGGCATCAGTCCTCTCGCTTCACCTCGGCTTAGTGTCCGCTGACGATCGCCTGTCTTCCATGCATCTACATCCATCCGGCAAAACCATCGTAGTGTAACAAATGTTGCATCACATTAATACACAAACAAACAAGTATCAACGCCACATGACAATGTGAATGAAGATCAAAAAAAAAGATTGAGCATTACCATCCGGCGCCGTCTGTGCGCAACAATTCACAGCGCCCATGTAGTCTCAATGGTTGTTTCTACTTCCCTTTCTTGTCTCGGTCTTTTATATATGCAATGAAATCAATGACTGAGAGTACAGTCGACCCATAGTTGATCAAGAAAGAGCAGCACTTTTTTTCCATTCAGATGCAGTAGTAAGGAGCTATTCAACCATGTGGCCTTTCTCAAGAAAATGGCTACATTTTTGATTACAATCCAAACCATCATCCGGATATTATCTCACTGTAGCCATTTTGAGTGGTTATTAGCGACGTCAATAGCTCATGGAAGACTCACTGTCATTGCCCGAGTTTGATCAAAACAACTTGAATGACGACATTACGCGTATGCATATACTTTGGGTGAATGAATTAGTAGGTGTAACTTGTTTTTCCTTGTACAGATGCACCTTTTCCTGTCTAAAATGATGAAGCAGCATGACCTCATTCATTTGATATCATTGATCATCAATCCCATTCACTCACGTTCTCCCTCTTTGTATCAAGTAGAATGCACCAGAGATACTACAATACAATGACGATATTATATCTGAAATGCTGGAACAGATTCGTAATCAACAGGAATACGTAGACTCAGTCTATGAAGATCGTCGGCAGCTCATAGAGGAAAAATCCTTTGTGAATAAATTGTATCAGATGGAGATTGATCGACTACGGTATATGGTCTCGTCGTATTTGCGCACACGTCTGCACAAGGTGATTAATCATCATGATCGTCAATGGTCTAGAATTGCTGCTCATGACTGCTTTAATGATGATGATGATGATGATGTAGATTGAAAAATATGCCATTCATATTCTAGAAAATGCAACGTTGACACAGCGACTGTCGACTAAAGAACGCAACTTTGCTCAACAGTATGCTCATATGATCATGTTGCAGTGTATTCTAGTATGTGTTGAAGAGCTTAGGTGTTTGTGCTTCTTGTTCTTGTTTTTGCTGTATAGATTTGTGACTCTCTATGAGTCGCATGTGAACGATCTGGTGCTGGGTAAATTTGATGCAGAACACCGGTCTCTTACAGCTGAAGATATGGGTAGGAGACAGTGTATAGTCCTATTGATAGCACCATTGCTACAATCTGATATTTCTGACAGCGCGTGGTAGTACTCAAGCCGAATCTAGACGGCTTTGTGTTTTGTCAGGGAAAAGATGCAGGAGGTGTCCAGTGTGATGACAAAGGTGCAAGTTTTGTCCAGGTAACTTCTGCTGATCGTTATGTGCTGCGGTACCGAAGTGTCCAAGAACACGTCGAATCTGGTGCAATTGCGCTGATCTAGCTACACCACAAGTCAAAATACTTCCTAAACCTTTGAGGATCGTGAAGCAATATCGATTAAGTTAGTTGTGTGAGAAAGACACGCGATGAAAACGCAGGAAGTAGCTGACTGCGTTGGTCCACCTATGTCAGGTACAATAAACTGGATATCATGTTTGCAACTGAAAATTTTCCGGCCAAGTGCAGGCTCGCTCATTCATGGTACGCGGCTGTTGCTCTCGTAATTTGTCTTGAGTAGGAAGTAATAAAAATTGACCAATATGTAGCTTGTTACCACAGCGGATTAGCAACTGCTGCTGCAGCCGCAATACACACCACAAAAGCTGCTGGCTGTCATATTGTATCAAGTATCAAACAAAAGAAGCGATATCACAAGTTACGCAACGTGCTTCAGACCAGTATGTACGATGCAAATAAAATCTCAAGCTCGTACCACAAGCAGAATTTCTTCCACCACAAGCACAAGGATTTGAAACATTTCATAGTGTGTGAAGATAAATCCTGGTGCTTGAAATCGTTCATATAAATGCGGTGTAAGCATAATAATACGTGCAAATTCCATAGCACTTAGCAGTAGGTACTACACAAACAGACAGACAGACAGATACAATTGAAAATTGATACGTTAAGCGATCCTATTGTATCATCATCACCTTGTAGTGTAATTTGAGCTCCAACAATACGTACAATCACAGTCCAACTCATGCTTTCCGATCGTACAGCCAAGAGACCGACAATACCGATAAGAAACATAAAGATATTTGATAACCACAAGTAATTCCAAGAAATAAAGACACCCAAGAGAAGCTGGAGAGTCGCAATGACACGAATACGCTGTGATCGTCGTGCAGTGGACGCCCAGGTCCTCTTTTGTTGTTCAAATCCACCGTAGCATCGTGATGTTGTGGACGTGATGGATGTTGTGGATGAGACTGGATAATTCTGGCGTGGAAAGAGTGGATCATATTCACTTCGGACGTGGTCTGACATGGTTGAGATCAAAGGAAGATATGAAGAAGTCAAGTAGTGATATTATCCGACTTTTAAGATTTTGATTGGGTAGATAAAATCTAAAGCTGGTGATTTTGAGTTTGGTTAAGTGAGTTTTTTCGATTGTTGAAAATTTTAGTACGTTCAGGTGGTTTTGCTGATTTTAGGTGTAAGAAATTTCATTTCGAACAAGGTTTCGTTTTTTTAATGTATGCAAATGGCAGAGAAGTCAAAGTGCTGTGACACGTGATTACGTCATAAACAGGATAAAAAGCAACATTTACACCAAAAAAAGGGTCTGATATTGCAGTCATTATTAGGCTGTCAGCAAGTAGTCACCCACTAAAACAGATGAAAAACAGGTTAGGCCGTTAGGTTTGAGCTTTTTCTTCCATACAAACACTGAATCCATATGATCCTACAATACCTCTTTGTCAAGAACGCCTGATGATATATAATCCTGGTAAAGTGAACAACTCATGCAATGCAGGAAGGCTATTCCATTTAAAGTAACAGCAAAAATAAGTCGAAAGCTGAATATATAAACTGGTATAGGCCCGAGATGGACTGTCAATTTCTAGACCTTGCTTAGTATTTCCAAGTGGCACGCACTGCATTGTTAGCAATACTCTTAAAGTCGATACTTGGTGTGCCTTAGTTTTCATCCTGCAGCTTCAGTGATGCCTGCGCTGCAAAAGTTAATGTCGACAATGGCTGCGATTAAACCAGACTGTCCATGAGTATTACACAAGTGCACAACAATGCCAATGAATGTCCATCTACAAAAAGCGTCATCTGCTATGGCTATAACTTTGGAATAGCGAGTAGCTGGGGTACAGGTGATGATCGATCATCTCTCTTTTCATTACTCGCACTAGAGAGCTTACGTGTTTGTGTCAAAGTGATTAGTATCTCAGCCCGTAATTAATCGCTGTGAACCCATGCAAGTTGAACCTATTCTCTTCTTGTCGCGACATAACGCACTCTTTCATAACTCGATTGGCCATCATTCAAAGTCATGTCCTTTTCTTCTTGCACACGCAGTCAAACGGCATTGACATCGGATTGCAATTCCTTATGTCCCGTAGGTCGTCCTTGTGTGGCGTATGCTGCTGAAGATGAAGACAAATGCTCATCCAGCACTGCAACGTTTGGAAACTGTACAAGTGACGAGTATTGCACATACGAATGCTTTGCTACAGGCCCAAACGATGAATCAATCGACTTTACCACGTACACATTTCTGATCCCTTTTGGCAGCGACATGGAGCCTAGTGAACAAGAGGCATCTGTCAAAGCTAGAGTGGACATTGTGACCAATTTGACAGCAAAGTATCCTTCCAAATCTAATGACGTACTGCAGTACATTGAACCCCTGGACTTTCAAACGTCGACTACACATGTCGTATTGGCTGGTGGTTCCAGTGTGTATGGTGAACGAGGACAAGCTGTACTAATGCACCTACCACGGGAACTATTCACGGCTGATATCCAATTGCGAGCCATGTATGGAGATCAATAGGAGACAAAAAACTAGGTTCGGTATGACGAAGTACTCACGTGAAGCTATGTCACGTGTAATGCAGAACGCTGGCAAATCTCGGATTGACGCAGATTCTCGAGTCATCGCTGCCTCCAAGACTCGTCAATCTTACAATATTCAACTGCCTCATGACAAGCTACCCGGATGATCTGCACATGATGAGTGAGCTTGAATATCTGTAAGACTTGGTTTCAATTTTCAGATGAGCGGTGTATTCATTGCTAATGTCATTGTTGCTGCAGAGATCTATCGCAGAACTACTTTGAGTTCTTTCCAGCCGCTCTCAAACTACCCAATCTAAAGACGCTCAACCTGTCAGCAAATAGTCTTGCAAGTTTTGAGGGTTCTTTGTTAAACTTAGTCACATTGCAAGTGCATCCATCACTGCAAGAATCACTTCAAATGGTCTGATGTTGTATTCATGTGTTGTTGTTCTTGCAGGGATGTTGCAGGCAACAACTTCACTTCAATTCCAGCAGCAATTTTCAAACTAGAGAATCTCAAACGACTAGATCTCTACGCGAATCAGTTAGCAAATGTGAAGCTCACAACTTCACAGTTCAATTTTCTTCAAGAGCTTGATGAGCTCAATGTGGACTCGTTTGGCAAGGTAGCGGAGTGTGATACAGTCAAGACGCTTCAAACAAGCAACTCATTGCTCAGCGTATGTGTGACAGACACTATTTTGTCAGACATGAATCTATCGTCCAACAAGGCTCTTATCGCTGGAGTTATTGCTACATCTATCGTTCTATTCCTCATCCTCGCCCTCATTTTTGGATGCAGATATCTTCGCCGTCGTGCTTTGAGCATGAAACCTGAACCAGGGACACTTAGCCGGCATCGTGGGCTGCTCAGCCCAGTGAGAAAATCATCACCTTATGTACCTCTAGTCGATGAACAACACTACTCATCCGACTTAGACGTAAAGGACCACCCAACACAACAACGCTTACCTTATGGTAAAGAGCTTGAGGCACTACTTTTGAACGCAGACGACTTGAACTATATTCGCAAGTTATCCAGCAAACATCGACCAAATCGTGGTCATCGTGAGACTTTTCTGACGAGATTTCGTGCCTCCAGGTTTCTTGTTTGCAAGAGGTTGCAGCAAAACCTCGTTCACGATACCTCGGCGGTGCAGCGTTTTGCTCGAGACATTCATCTTGCAGCGTCCCTTGATCATCCGCGGATTGTAGCACTTGTGGGCATTATTTGGAGCCGAGCGTACAGCTTGGAGGCGCTGTTTGAGTACATGGATGGAGGTGACCTGCGTTCATATTTGGCCAAAGTCAAAGAAGCTGAAGGTTTATACAGTGTCTGGAAACTTCAAGTCGCGCTAGATACTGTTGAAGCATTGGCGTATGCACATTCGTTCTCACCGACGCTTGTGCACCGTGGTCTAACGTCACGTAGCGTTTTACTGTCCTCGCCACCAAAAGTACACGCTCATCTGGATGACTTCGTTTATGACCGCCAAGACTTTGTCAGCATGTCGGCTATTGGTCTACCACATGAAGAGAGGTGGTTACCACCCGAAGTTATCGCGAGCAGGGCATACTACAGTCCTGCTGCAGATATCTACGCATTTGGAGTGATTTTATCGGAGCTTGACACTCATTCTTTGCCTTACGACAATGTTGAGGGTAATGTGAGCAGCAAAAAAAGCATGAGTAACATGGAAATTCTCAATCGAGTAGCTTCCGGTAAGCTGCGTCCAGTTTTCACATCAGGCTGTCCGACGGACTTTCGAGAGTTTGCTGAGCAATGCCTCAGCTTTGAAGCATCGGATCGACCAACTGCTTTCCAAGCTGTCATCAGGTTGCGTGCACTACTCGAGGAAGGCCAGCAGACTTCATACAGAATTTAGTTTGAAAGCAAAACTACTAATGTCGCGTATCACATCGTGCAATGCTAACAATCGCAGAATCTGCAGCATCACAACTTTCATAGGACACGAACTCATCATCGGCGATACATTCGCCTCATTCAGCCAAGAGACTAACTCAATAGAGCCTAGACATCATTTAACAGATCAAATATGACATATAATGCGATGATATCGTGCTTTGCATTCTTCAATGCCTCGAAGAGAGTACCTATACAGGTCTTGCACTTCTCGATAGCCGACATACAGTTCTCTTGAAAGAGACACATTTGCAGCATTCATATGGACCAGGAGCTCGCAGTCGAAACACCGCATAGAATAGATCTACATGCTACACAACGCATCTACGTCCATATGACACATGCCGTCGGATAACATTCAATGTCTTGTTGCAATATCGCAACTACACACGTCTACATGCCGAAATGTGTCTCAGGGTGATTCGTGCGCCAGAATTGTTGCTGTGCTCTTGCGCACGGCTTGATATGAATGACCACATTGAGATCCCTTTTGTGATACATGAAGCTTGCGTGGGTTGCGTTACCCAGGACAAGCCAGACAGACGTTCACACAACACAACACGCACTCGCACGATCGAACGTTCATCAATTAGAAAGGCGTGGCGCTGTCCTGACGGCGATGGTCTGTCTGTAGGTGAAAGCGATCGTGTTGATGAGATAAATTGGTGAAAACGATAGCGAGTACTTTATCCGAGTCAGTCTTCACCAGCCTACGTCTTCTTGCTCTACTAGCAGCCTGTTTGGCTAGGTTCGTCTACTGGACTGATCTATACAGCATAAGTGTGTTGCAAAACTTCATTATGATATCACTCCATCACCAGACGATGGCGTGCACCCTCTGCTAGCTGCAAGTCAATGTACATATCGTTCTTGCAGACTACATTGACGCATGAGTTGCAAGTTACTATTGTACTAGTAGATGTATCGACACCTCCACTGAATCTGTTACGGCTTGGTTTCGGCAATGACGCTGTGCCGATTGGACACGCTAAGCAATATGATAGCAACATCAAGACTTAGAAACGTATCATTCAGTCATTGGTTTTGACGCTACGCTGAGACGCAATAATGCAGTAAAAGTCTGGTGGCGACTACTGAGCTTCGAATGCTTTGCTTCGATTCCAATTTATAGGTTACGTTCAAAAAACTAAGCAGCATGACATCAATGCTACGAGATCGTAACGAACATCAATAACGGCTTCAGGACAGATTGGAACTGCAATGAAGCGTCGACATGATCTGTTTTCAAGTATGTCGCAGCAGGCGAGCCAAAGCGAGCGTTTCAACAGTGAACTGATCAGTGTCGATGTTCAGTTGGCAACGTTTTGCAATCAAAGACGCATTTTTGCTGTAGCATAACGGTCGATCCAATGTGTCAAGTTGCAAAACCTATGACTCAGATTGACTGACGTCTAGTGACATTGCACTGGGCTCAAAGATAACAAGACCTTCTATTGACCACTACAACTAGCAGTGAAGGCTACAAGGGATTATTCTAGAGCCCAGTAAAGCTTTTGTCCCACGGTGACATGCGGCAACTTTTTCTGCACGTCGAGGGAGTTTGAGCACGCGAGGGCTGGTAGAAACATGACTACTTTGTAGTGCAAAAGGTTCAACGGCACGACAAAAGAGTGAGGTGTCGTCATTCCGATAATAAAGTGATACAAACATTTCAGCTATTTGTACTCGAGGCAGAGCAAACATTGCGTTCCAGTTTATCGTGTATGTCGCAGTGACCAGTGATAACATTTGCCACTTGTTGTAACTGCCTTAACATCGCCGGTATGAAAAGCAACTTTATGTTCTTTTTTGCATAAAACACGTCAGCGACAGTCCAAGGAAGAAATTTTCATGCTTTTTGCTTACAAAAATAGTCGATACGAAATTTTACAATAATAACTAACTTACAGTCAAATGATCCACTTTTGTAGCCAAATACGCTTTGATGGGTACATACAATATCATCTGACAGTTGGATAAATAAGACGGAAATGGATTTGATTCATACATTACACTTGATGGGTTCAAATGTGAGATATTTATTTAATGGCCTTGGATCCTATATAACCTCATGTGGTAAGAGTGATGGTAGCTTCTTTCCTATCTATGTCTGATCGTGTTATACTCAATAGAAAAAGCAACTGAGTTGCATAAACAGCCTTAACTGGCATGTCCTGATTATGCACTTGATTTTAACCACTAACGTCTGCTCAAATTGTACAGGCTCTCTATCTATTACGACCGACTACTTTACGACATGACTCCCTTTTGATTCGTCAAAAAGTCTCTAAAAAGTCATTTTTGTCGGTTGCACTAGACAGCCTACACAAACATGTCGTCATTGCACTTGCATTTTAGAATTCACCTTCTTGACCTCACAAGCATTGGAGTTTACGCTTTTTGACCTTCATTCTCTCCTCCCAGTCTTGTCTCCCATGATGGAAAACCCCCTGCATACGTCCACGTTGCCAAATAAGACTGGCGGGTTGCGCAAGTCGAACTCTACACGCAGTCTTGCTTCCTTAGCTGATGTTCAGGCGCTGATTATTGCTCAAGATGAGGAAGAGCAGGCACACCAACGGCAAAAATCACTAGAGAAACCCCCACGTCATGCCAGTATTCCTATGTATGCGCAAATTCTACTTAAGTTATGGCAATGTGAATTACAACGTAATGACGTAAACATTACGACGGATTTCTTCTACGATCTCAATGGTTCAGAGGAACAAGGTGCGCAACTTGTTGGCCGCATGCAAGCGCTGGGGTTCAACATTACCGTGCCGCAGTTTCTAGCAATGCATCGATGCTCTATCTACTCGGTGTTGTTAGTGGCGCTGTGAGTTTCTATGGACGACAAATATGTATTGGTTGGCGGTTTGTTGGATCCAAACGCGCGTGTTTTCGTAGTAAATGGGATTGAATTCTTTTCTATTTGCGTAAAACTGTTGTAGCAGCACCCCTCTGTTTAGTAGTTTTAGCATCGTAAAAACGAGATAATTTATAGCACACGAGCATTTTCAATACTGCATGGAATGTTACATCATTTTTTCAATCTGTCCAGTCCTATCACTTTTCAGTTTCAATCACTGTCACTTGTCGAGTCCTCAACGATCATCTCGTGAACGATATTCATTCAATACTTTGCTCTTATGTAATCGTCCACGTCTTGCATTCACTCGTGATGATTGTCGATGAAACTCACTCTCTCCACCCATTGTCCCTGGATCCACATAGTGTGGTCGTGGATAACAAATCTTATAGTGCAATGCTACATCCACTTGATTATGTCCTTGTTCAATCGCTTCTTCGATTGCAAATGGATCGACTAACGTACGGTTCTCTTCAAAGCGTCTCCTGCACAGAAAAGTCAGATCCTTTTACATTCTTTTTTTCGACTTGGCAAGAAACGTTCGTTCCCTCACGCCAATTTCAGATACTAGCACAAGCAAGTCCAATCAACAATCTATTGTTTGCGATAGATTGTCTCGCTTTACCTGGCTTCAGATCGAATCCACTTTTGCTCTTTCGAGCCATCACTACCACCTTTCCCTACAGCACAGGAGAGAGGCATTATGAATAAGGAGATAAGGTCGTTTCAAGTTCAATGAAAACATTTAAAGTCGAGTCGAAATGAGGTTGTTGACGTACACGTTCGGGCTACACGTAGGATACGGCGATAGAGAGAGAGCGACATGGTTAGTGTAACAGATTGATGACGAGTCGAGCGTAGCAAATGTTTGTTCATTCTCTTCCCACCATGGTTGTTCTGCTAGGTACGAATAACAACCAATCATACAGCGATAAAACTGTCTTTGTAATCTTGATTACTAAGATTCTAGAATATTGAAGCAAAATGTACTCTTTATTAGGAGTTTTTAAAATAGGCACCATAACACGACAAAAGACAGTCTTTTTGGTAAGTAATGCCAGTTTAGACAAATGCAGCTGACCATTAATTTCCGGCGCTATACCGCCTAAACTTCAACCCAAGCCATTCAACTGCTCCACCAGCTGGTCTTCATTTGATCCGCTCATCATTATCAATAACATGATAGAATAAAGATACTTTATAGTAGGATCGTATTGTGTAATGATTATACTATCGCAAACAGGCATCTTCTTGGCCATTCCTGCTAACTATCTATTCATTGACTTGTTCTTCGCCTTCTTCAAGTTCTTCACCTTCTTCAAGTTCACTGTCATGAGGATGAATCTTGTCCTTCTTTACTTGCAGTTTCAATCGTGCCTGACGAATAACTTCTTCCGCCTTGGCTGCTTCTTCTGCTTCAGACAATGGTTTCAAGGGTAATTGAAGTAGAGAATACGTAGTCGCTGCCGTAGACGTATCGACACTAGCCTTAAAACTCACAGGAGGAACTAAGCTCGAAGGTAGTGTACCCACATGATTACGAGATCGTGATCGCCGCTTATGACTTGAAGATTCATGTCGAGACACCGAACGAGATCGAGACTTGGAACGCGAAACAGACGGCGAACCGTGACTACGATGCCGTTTCTTTAATGACCGATGGCTACGACGTTTTTTATGGTTCTCGTCACTCTCCAATTCCTCCGTCGCGGACGAACGACGATGTGGACGACAAGGGTGATCTTCGTCACCATCATCCTCGACAGCCAAGTTGCGACTTTCCTTGCGGCTTCGCTTTCGATGCTGAAGCTTCTTCTCCTTCTCTCTACTGCATTCTTCTTTTTCCACAGCAATCCACATTTCATACACTTGACGTACAAACACAGGAAATTCGACTATCGCATCGTTGTCCTCCATTTCTCGGTGCTTCTTAACTGCAGTCTCCAAAGCTGCATCAATTTCTTCAGATTTTAACTTTTGCACTTCTTCAATCTCCCCAATCGCAAAACCATCATCAGGATCCTCTAAAGTACCTTTCCTAGCGTCGCTAGTCTCTTCGCTCACGTCTTCTTCACCCTCCTCCGGCGCTTTGTTATCGAGTGCGATGCCTACACCATCCTTAAGAGCATCGATAAATACTGTGTACGACGTGCTTTCACTCACGCGTAATGGCGGATCACCACTGCGATCCAAGTACTTGCGAACCGCCGACGCTGCGGGTTCCAGGTTCCTACGAAGTCGGCGAGTGTATTTCTCAAAAATACGACGTTGTGCTTTCCAGTGCAAGTGTTTATCGTCTGTTCCTTCGTTTCCTTCATCATCTCCACCTGCTCCAGTACCACCATTCGCTTCACTATGTAATTCTCTAGTCTGTTCTTCACTGGCATGTTTTAAATGCTCAGCCGAAAACTCCTCCCACGTGCTTCCAACTGTCAGCTTCTGCACAGCTATAAACTCTTTGAATCGATCATTCAACTCGCGACTCATCTTCTCTTGACGCTCTACACGGTCCGCACGCTCACGCTTGCGTTTTGCATGCTCCAGTTCGCGGCGTTCGTGCAAGAAATCCTCAGCCCAGTTATACACATCATGTCGGTCAACAATCCGAAGCGCATCCTCACCAACTCTGCCACTGCCACCCGAAAGTTCAACATCCTGCAGCAGATCAAGGACACGCCGCTTAGTGTCGGCATCAAGCCGCTTACTCGCTCGACTGCCACCAAACTCCAGCTGCTTCGAGTCAGCGCGCTGCCGCAATAGTTCCATAAATGCCCTCTGCAAACTATCACGCTGTCTTGCGAGACGAGCCTTCTGGTTACGCTCCAAATCCTGCATAAATGTGGCAAATAGCTGTTGCCGCTCTCGGATCTCTTCAACAGCAGACCACCGTGGATCCTTCCGCAAGGCGTAAAAACTATCACTCGCTGCAAGTTCTTCCCACGAAACCTGCCGACGCCGCGATGGCGGAGCCAGGCTCGATTCAAACAAACCCAGCAACTCGATGAACTCCTCCCGTGTCTTTTTGACTAGCCGACGTTTCTCAATAGTTGCACGGTTCTTCGCCTGCGTACAGTACTCAGCAAACGCCTGTTTCTTTTCACCTACTGTATTCAATGCAAACTTCCATCGAGGATCATTGTGCATCGATGTATCTTTTTCCAATCAAACGCTGCGCGTCGCCCCACTTGAGTGTCGGCATGATCTGTTTGTCCTCAAGAAACTGCTTGAATGTAGTCATACGTTCAGCAAATTGCATATGCTCAAACTGTGCAGCCTGTTCACGCTCCTGTTCCTCTTTCCGCTGCTTCCGAGCCTTCTCTAGTGTTTCCTGTCGTCTAACCTCTTCTTCATCTACCTCCTCGTGTTTTTCTACCGGGGCGCTGCTATTCTGTTCAGTATCCTGTATCACTTGGGGTGGAACCTGCATCTGTGACGGATATGATGGAGTAGTTTGCATTGTTTCACTCGTCATCTTGGCTACTTGTTCTCTTGCTTTTTGCATTCGAAAACCCTCGGGTTGGTCCCACACCGTCTCCTTGGTCACTGTATTAAAATAGTAAAAAGCACCCGTCGCTTCATCCTTGTATTCTATCCACTTGGGTCGATTCTTCTCCGTCTCAACTAGAGTTGGCTTGTCATATGTACTCACACCTGTAGACGCATTATGATAGTACGTAACTCCCTGAGGCGATCTAAATTCACTCCATCCTTGAGGTAGAACGGAACTAGGTATAGCAGGTGATAATGGAGATGGATATCCTGGTGTAGTCATCATCGATGATGGAATTGTAAGTCTTCGAGGTGGTCGTGCGATTCCAGGACATGGGGGACCATGTACAGGAAGGAGTCCACGTCCTTGAAAAACCGGTGGAGGTCCTCGAAACGGAAATGGTGGCGGTGGTCCTCGAGCTGCAAGATGTGGACGAAAAGGAGGTGGACCACCACGTGGAAAAGCTTGAGGAGGACCACGAAATGGTGGTAAGACATTACGTGGAAATGCTGCACCATTTGATGGTGGTCCATATTGGCTCATAATCAATCAACAGGAAGACGAGACGATTACAAAGGCCACAAAATAGAGACAAAGAGAGTGAGAGTGAGAGAGAAAAGGAGACAACACTTCAACAAGTCTCGTCGTGTTTTTTACTACAAGATGCAAGAGTGAATGTCGTTTAATACAACGTACAAGAGTGAATGTCGTTTACTACAAAACTGTTTCTTTGTAAAATGAATTGCTTAGGGTCGTATTTTTTAAAGAGGATAAAAGTTAATTGTCAGAGAGAGAGTGAGAGCTACCACGAATAAGTGCATGGTTAAAGTACGAACTTATTGTATTGTGTAATATGATATTACTGTATAGTTTAATATCTGGTAGTATACGATACTTATTTACATGCGGGATTTACACAGTGTATGATACTTGATATCAAATAACCTGTTGGAATCATCATGAATGATTGATTCTCGTTGTGTGAGTAAAGAGTAAGAAAGCTAATGTTACTGTAGATTTGAGCTAGTATGACGCCACCTCCTCAAGCTGGTCATGTAGGACCAGCACCACCAATGCCTCCACAGGTACAGGCTATGATGCAGGAAATGTACAAGAAACAACCAAAGCTTCAACAGAATCAGCAGATGCAACCTCCTGTGCCATATCAACAGTATCAAGGTGGTCGAGGAAGAGGACGTAACAGCGGACGTGGACGAGGACGTGGACGTGGACGTGGAGGTTTCCAGCAGCAACATTACCGGCAGAATCGAGGACATAATAAATTTCAGTGCAAGCGACTGAGAGGAACAAAGGATGATGTACAAGACGCATCGAGATTCTATCTGCCTTCGTTTCTGGAAGACCCGTGGAAAGCGCTCGAAGGTGGCAATGAACAAGGCAGTGAAAAAGATCACGATATGGTCGGAAATACACAGGTCGGAGAAGGAACACAGTCGAGAGAGAGGGTGCAAGTACGACATCAAGAGCAGTGTGTTGCCAAAGACGAGCTTGGACGAGTACTCTTTCAACCGTCGTTCCTGGAAGATCCGTGGATAAGTTTTTGATATTAGAAGTGAAGATATCTCCATGAAGTTTAAAACGACGAATAATAATGACAGATTGTGTTGATATTGCTGTGAATCCTTCTGCTTCAGAAGACAACAGAAGCTGATGCTTCGTGTATGGATTCATGGCGAGAAAACGTGATGAGTCTAGCATGACGCACTCGCGAGTTTAGATCCTTGACAACGTGTGCAGCCTCAATGCTGTGCATTGCAAACAGCATCATAAAGGTTGCGCAACAATGGATCAATCGGGGACACAGATTGTAATTTGTAAGATGCGTAACGTCTTTTGGACACGCCACGATTCGACTAAGTTGGGAGGCGGTCGGGTCTACGGGACTGTGGACAATTGGCACGTTAGTAGCGTTCATATCGACAGTAAAACCCGAATAGATATCGTACCAGGCGACTGGAAATGAGCAGCATACGCTAAGTGATACTTGAAAGGCCGAGAACACGAATGAAGCAAGCATAAGACTGATTACACTCTGGTGTAGACATGAGTTTACCAAGATACGATGTACGAAGGCACTGGATACTCGCGAGAAGGTGCAAGCATAATAAAGCAAGAGCAAAGCTGCTAACAATTGCGGAACACTGCTCAGCAAGTACTTGAGCGACATGTCATTGTAGAGCTTCCGGTTCTCAAGCTGTGGTCATTGCATGTATGTAGAAGTAAGTATGAATGATGTCTCAGTACTGCTACATGTAGTGCAAAACATACGTCAGTAATGTGATACCATTGACACAAGCCAAAACCTCCCTATTGAATGCAATAAAAGAGATTTCATTAGAGTTAATGAACCAAATGACTTGTAAAGACCATACACGTTGACTACAATAGCATTGCAGGCCAAAAAGACCGGATATAGTCGAAGAAGCCGTGGCATGAATGTTATGAGGTGCATTTACCCAAGCGTCCGTAGGTAGTGCCTGTCTCAGATTGTTTCCAAATATCCAAAAAGTTGATATTATCCATGTGTAAGATATTTTGTTTACCATAATTAATATAAATAACTTACGCATCATGAAATATAACACAATAAAAATGGGTAATCTTTCTTAAACCTTTCCACCTTCTTTTGCCGCTTCCTACACCAATACTTACAATAATTAGTGAGTTCCGTCTACATATACAGCATGTTCTACCAGCTTATCAGTGACATAAAGATACAAAACTATTAAGCCAAATAAGCTATCAATAAGAATAATTATTTGCTAAATAAATAATTGGTTACTAAATATTAGTCAATTAATTCCATGTATTTTTGTCATATTATTATTATTTATTGAGTATAAAAACTGTGTAATATCCAATCGTATATACGTTTTAAAAGAGCGGCTCAGAGAGCCTATCACCAAACTGAATACAGTAAGCAAGTATAAAAGTATGGGCCGAGCAAGAAAGCGCACGATGGAAATGATTCGTTTAGTCAAGGGTCTATCCCGTAACGGTGGGATGCGTCGACCATCGTGGGTTTCTATGGTTGATCGTTATCCACCTCCACCAATACCACGTCACGATCGTGATCAACTTCCAGTCATTACGTTCCCACAGGATCGACTGGCTGACCTTTATATGAGACAGCGCGATGGCATGGTGGATGGACAGACTGCGTACGAGTTTGCTGATGAGCAGTTGACACTGATTGAGAATGGTATTCCAGAAGAAGATGCGTTTGCTATGCTCATTGAGAAATATGATCAAGTAGAGAGCCATCGCTTTCTCGAAAAGTTTTCCAAGATGCGCGGGATTGAGTTTGCTGATCCCGCTGAGTACAATGACATTGAGAAAGGATGGGTTGAAGCTGAAAGTCGTGCGATTAAGGAAGCTATGCGTCTGGAGCATGAAGAAGAAGAAGCGCTTCGAAAAATGTAGCGAAATGAGTAGATAATGGATGGGATTTACTGGTAAAGAGAGACAAAGGCCAATCTTTTTCATTTCATTGCATGTCCGTCACCTTCTATCAGTCTAGTAGCCTTCGGCTTCTGTAGACTTATAGTCAAAGCTCTAGTTGCTGTATAGCACAGCAATGCGGTCATTGTCACGCCTACGGCTGAAATGTTGACCGACATCCTGTCAACTTCTTAGTCGAAGCATTATGCTTCGAAGCTTTTTGTACATCTACAAAAATGTAGCCATGCTGTCATCACTTATGAATACACGTTTATTTTCACCCAATCCCAAGCTGTTATGGGCTATTATTTTCGAGTCTTTTTAAGCCAACCACACGGCTGCATTTGTGAAAGCAAATTAAGCCATGGAAGACGACACGCATAACAATGGTGTGGATCTTGCTTGTGCTCTCTCGTTATTGCTGACTAATCAATCGAATGTAACTGACACGAATACGTTCTATATGGATGATTATTGAATAGAAAACACAGAGATCGATGTAGCTGAGGCACCGACGGCTAAGGACCAGCATGTTGCTGCTGCTTCCTCGGACGAGACCGAGGAGTCTGGACCAGTTGCTGACGAGCAAACAGAGCCGAGTGAGAGCAAGGAGGTCAATGATACGGAAGAAAACAAATGAGGCACGAAGGTGACAGCAAGAACGAGTCTGCACAGGAAACTCCGACGGCTAAGGACGACGGGGATGAGGTGAAACCAGCCGAACCCACGGCTGAGAGCGTCCAAGACAAGGCAGAGGTACAAGCTTTACCCATCCGCGCATACTTGGATCAGACAGTAGTGCCAATTTTGCTGCAGGGCATGTCAGCGCTTGTAAAAGAGCGTCCACCGAATCCAATCGAGTGGTTGGCATCCTATCTCATCAAGAACAACCCACAAAACACTAATGCAGAAAGCGAAGCGAAGTGAGTAAATGAAAATGCCGAGACAGTAAGAAAATTGAAGCTGCTCGCGTTGAATCTGCTAGGATCGTTGCGTTTTTTTCTTTACCGACGCACAAACATTGTAGCAAGGTCAACTGGTGGAAAGAACTCGGATATCTCGGCTGTCTCTAGCTTTTTAATTGCTGTGTTTCATGCTCTAATCAGCATGAAGCATGGTAGTGTCTTCCCAAGTAGTGCTTGCTCCGCTGCATTTATTCTGTTCTTGTGTCTCAGTTCTCTAGCTAGCTAATTGTCGCCACGACCACGTCCACGACCGCGCCCACCACCTCGACCACGGCCACGGCCACCATCACCACGTCCACCTCGGCCATCTGGACCATCCCCACGTCCGCCGCGCCCACCCCGGCCGCTGCGACCTCCTCGACCCCCAATGCCGCCACGGCCTCCACGGCCACGTCCTCGGTAGGCTTGACGGTCTTTGTCAATCACACCAAACACAATTGATCGTAAGAAAAATAACTTCCGCTCATATCGATGAGTAAAAATGCAATGTCCATAAGGGCAGTGCCTCGAGGTAAACGTACCGCGTCTAGTGAAGTCATCCTCATGCACCATATCCAGAAGCTGTGCGACACAGTCATTGTAGTAACGTCACATAATCTTTATACTGCTTTTCATTGTACCCTCTGCATACCTCGTTGGGAACACGGATGTACTTGATAGTGTTGCCACGAATATAGCATTCAGGCATTTTCCAGAAACGGTCACCGTCCTGCATTCATACAGTTCCACACAAACCGTCACACAATTACTACAACAGCTCCGTATATATAGGATGAATATAACAAACCTTGGACGTGCAAATGACTTCGCGCAGATTGACGTTCATCCACGTGTCGCAGTTGACGAGGTGTCCATTGTATGTATCTCCATTCTTTAGCTCCACCAGCTTTTCCACAGCCAACATCATACAACATCAGTCAGCTTAACATCAACTCTAAGCCAATCAAAACTTTTACACGTACCATCGGGTGTCCCTGCGCTGTCTTGAGCAATGAAAGTGGCAGCTACAGACGTATATTTGGCAAAGATCCAAACTCATTCCATTGTCAGTTCATATCTCCAGCTACAAAGCGTTCCAAATCTCCATTCTTGCTTCTATGCTTCTATTATAACATCAAAAAGCATAATAATGCAGACTACATCGTATTACATACATACTACGCACCATATTGATCGTCAACAATGCTCCAATGCTTACGCAGCTTTTTTCTGCTGCGTGTTGTGTGGTAAAGTATCGAGTGTCGAAAATAAGGTTTATAAAAACGCTATTTTACGTCAATTTCCTAAATATCGAACTCAAAGCTCCAAATATAAGCGAATGGAAGACGGAAAACAGACCGTTACAAGCCTCACTCTTGAAATTCAAGCTACTTAGTACAAGAAGGTTCGTAGCTTGATCTTTCTCTCTCTATTATATCTCCTGACTCGAGTCTTTATTGTTTCTCTCTTGTGTGATGCTACAATATACTGCCTATAGTCAAACGTATCATGTCTGAAGAAGTTCCGCCGAATACGGACGCCTCAAATGGTGAGGATAAGAAGAAAGTTGAGCCAATTACGATTCGAGTCAAGGATCAATCAGGTGAAGAGACGTTTTTCAAGGTGAAACCCAATACAAAGATGGAAAAAATCTTTAGTGCTTATGCTCAGCGTAAGGGTGTACCTGCTAGTGCGTTGCGATTCTTGTTGGATGGTACGCGCATTAGTGGGGATCAGACACCGAAGATGCTCGAGCTTGAAGACCAAGATCAGATTGACTGTGCACTGGAGCAGGTTGGTGGTGGCTCTTGGTGCTAAGCATCTATCATTTTGTTTTGTTGAAGAAAGAAAGGAAGAACAAAATTCGTATCACGTGAACGTATGAAGCAAAAGCAGAAAGCGACGTTCTTTGAGTGATCCATTTTGCTGCTTGCTTGATGGGGGTCGTATTAGGCTTGTATTGTAGTCTTGGTGCTTCTATTTCTTTATGGGAAGACTGTATGAGGAATACCATACGAAAATGACGAACAAGTCCCTCGTGACACTGTTAAATACAAGTCTACTTTTTTCTATACAGACGGCCATTTGTTTGTTGTTTTCGTACAAACGCCTGTTTTGCTTGCTTGCTTGCTTATGATGGATGGGTGTATGTATTATTACCTCTAGTTCTTCCTTCATACATGTTTTTTCAACCAAGATGGTGGATTCACAGGTATCGTTACTAAATCCGTGTCAAAGAGCTCAATAAATTGCTCATTCTGTAGCCGCACTTTGCTGCCAGCAAACCGCCGATATTCTTCAAAGATAGACGACAAATGCCATCCTTGAATCTTTCGTAGACAACCCACAACGGCACCTACATCATTCAAACATTAGTCATCATTGTATAATACTGAAAGCAGTCATGCTTCTCTTTGCACACATTGTGTGGTCTATTTACCTGTACGGTCGCGACCGAGGTGACACGTAATGTAGAGTGGATAATTCGAACGGTCGAGGATAATATCAAGTGCTGCAAGAACCGTTTCTTCTGACAATGGCTCCCACGACTTACGACGACTCTCCATGCGCGTATTGCCTCCTAAAACAACAAGTTGAATCTCTTGTTCCTCGACAAAGCTCTGAAATTGTGGATTCGGTTCTTCTAGGGCCAAATAAATAATCGTACGCAAGTTTAATCGCTCTAGGAAGGGAAAATTAAGCTCATTGGGCTGTCCTGAGCGGTATAAATCTTCCTCGATCATGCCATAATTAACTGGTGGAATAAAGTACGACATGGTCTTCTTATTGGGAGAAGATCAGAATGTAGTGACTGGGTGAGTAAACTTCAGTTCGAGTCATACTAAAATTCAGTGAATAATTTCTCTAGCCATTAATTTAACAATTTTCTAACTTGTAGTTAAATCGCCCCTATGCTAGTGATGCAATACGTTGTGACTGTTTACTAGTACTACAGTACCCTATGCAGCCTGTACACTTCGAGTCTCATCAGCACCAAGCGTCCCATCGCACGAAACGTGGTGTAATTTTGGCATCATACCGCCAGCAACCGCCGCCTTAATGATGCACTGCACGCCCCGTGCACTTAGAAAATTATCCTCCAGTCCAAGAAAACGCATTTGCGGACATTGAGCACTTGATAGCAGCTCCACGACCGGAGCAACACAATTGTCCGTAATAATGTTGCCACCCATGCATAAATACTTCAGCTGTTGGCAACGACCGACACGCAGCGCAGCCATAATACGCTTGAGACCCGATTCGCCAATGTAGTTGCGACGAATGTCAAGACGTGCCAATTTTGGTAACGATCCGACCTTGAGAAGCCAAGCGACGTCTACTGTACCTACGTCCGAAAACCCATTGCCTCCCAATAGTAAATCTTGCAGGTTCGGACATGAACCCTTGACGAAAGCGGCACACAATAGGTGCAACGCATTGCCACGACACGTATTGGTAAATACCGACACGAGACGGAGACTCGTGAGTCGACGACAGGCACCAAGCTCGATACCCTCGGCTAGCTGCTGGACGACTTCCTCGCCTGCGTTGTCATGTGAAATGTCCAGCTCACTGCAACCCCAAGCATGAAGTGCTGGTCCAGTCTCCTGCTGATCACACATCGGTTTCATCGAGTTGTAGACAGTGAGACCAGTCAAGTTCGGGAACTGGCATAATAACGTAGCTGCCGGTTGGCTTGGCATCGCTGCGGCGTATAACACGAATGCGAGCTGTAGCTGGCGAAGCTCCACCTCAAGAGTAAACACACAACGAGGTAATACACGGCGGGCGAAACGATTGAGCTGAAGACACCGGATAGTCTCACGACCTGGCAAATATGCAAACACAAGGCCCAGCATGGCCTCGTCCATGATAAAAAATGAAGCCTCCTCAATTAAGCGGGCACTTGTGCGCGGTGTGCTCGAAGAAGTAGATCCAATGCACTCCGGACGCGGCCGCTTGATACTAAGTCGGGAAACACCAAACGGTGTCATTGCTCGGCGCTTACGCTTACCAAGTTGAGGTACTGCAGTGACGGGCGCATTGCCAGGCACGAGTGCAGCTGCACGACGGCGTGACACGGCCGCTTCGTGAAAACTCAGGGATACAAGCGACTGCAGTCGGCGGCGCAGTGTGTTTAAGTCACGGTACTCATGAAACGAAGCAGCCCGCGAGTAGAGCGACAGCTCAATACGCTTCGCTAGTGACGGCGTTCGTGCGTCCGTACACGTCGCAACATCGACGCGCTTGCTGCGGGTCATGGCAATGATACGTTGTACCATCAATCGTCGTTCCGGTAAGTCAGCAGGTGACTGCCAATGTGTCAAGTCAGCCGTGTATCGTTCCGGTAATAGGCCAGCAGGTAAAGCCACTTGACTAGAGCCCGATCCAGAGCGTAACGAAGATGCAGCACTTGTGGTTTGTGTAGCATTAGCCACAGGAGCAGGAATTGGTACCGTAGCTGTAACATCTCCAAATTGTAAATGATCAGTAGTATCTGTTACATGATTGATTGTAGTATCAACACTAAGGTGAGCCCATGGTTGACGTGCAGCTGAAGGATCAAGCATACGTGGTGTTGCTCCAATTTCGGGTAAGTCAACATTGGGTTTCGAAACCATACGGGCGGTCACTGGTGTAAGTGCACCTTGATTCTCGGAAGAGATCTCACGTGGACTTTGCATCGTATTTACTTGTAATTTGTTTTTCAATCAAGTTAGTTTGTTGTGTTTGATAAAGAGAGAGAGAGAATGGAGAGAGAGAATGGAGAGAGAGAATGGAAAAGAGAGAACAGAGAGGTGAAGAGAGAGAAGAAGAAGAACCAAGCAAACAAACAAGTACTGACTGTTTGACTGACTGACTGACTGACGGAATGAATGCTTTGACGTTTCTTCGGTGATTTCTTTCCCAACTGCTGGAAAATGGAACCAACGCTTTTACTGTCTGATCGTAGTATATATATGTCCAGCCAAAAAAAGCAGAAAAAAAAGAGGTTGAGCTCGTCGTCTTTTCTCTGTGTAGTAGGAAAAAATGTGTGTCTCAGTCGTAAGGTCAAAGCCAGCAAAAAGTGGTTTTCTCGGCAGATTGAGATGTGAAACACTGTTTGTGTAGCAAGCAATGGCGGAGACGGGACGTGGGCTGAAAAAGCGAGGAAAAGAAGCGAGATAACGCCCCGGCTGCCAACGGACGTGGAAAGCGTTGGATTCCAGAAATTCTACGATCGAAGCCATTTTTGACTTGTTTTCACACATAGAACACGAGCTCATACACACAGACACAACGAAAACTGTATATAGAAAAATAAACTTAAACAGCTTAAGATGCTTTTCTTTACGTTGACCTCGTCGCGGACCGTTTTGGCTGCCTGGTCATTGCAGTCTCGCATGGCGAACGGCATGCGAAAACTATCATTTGAAGTGTAAAAACATAATCATATGACGACATTGAATGCCGCTGGCCCAGATGCCCAGCCGGTTTAAGCACGATTTGATTCCGTCCATTCAACACAGTTGGTTGTAGGCCATCCAGTTCGGGGACAGCTGAGTGCGTTTTTACACGACGGCAAGAGCATCAGCTGCTGTGAGTAACCTGCTGTCGTCGTGTCTAGTCCCGATCGGGTGTGACACCCATTGTACCAAGGCGTTGTGGTAAAAAGTAGTTGCTTGCATAATATAACACCAGTCGAACGTCAATTTTCATCGTCGTCACAAAGGCATGCATGCAACTTGACGAAAGAGGACAGACACGTTGCATAGGGCTTATGGTGGCAAAAAGAAGTTAGGATTTTCCACGTTCAGGATAAGTACATTCTTAACGCCAAGGACGTCCCACTGCCAATATGGAAGAGGTACGTGGCGAGTGGACTATGCAGAGGTAGGTAAAGTCTCTGGACAAGCTCAGCTGCAAAACGGTGAGACCTTGAAACCAAGAAAACCATTCTCTCCATAGCTGATTTGGAGCCAGCCTGGTTGGCTGCTGTATGCCATGACGTGCGAAACGGAGCTTCGATGTAAGCTTGTTGCAGCTGAGGGCGATGGAGCTTGCAACCTTACATGTTGATAAAGAAATCGCAAAAGCGACAGAGAGCGCGCAACAACGGCGGCTTATTCTCGCGGTTTCACGGACGTGTCCATACCGACGACACTTTGCAAAAGACTGAACTAGACTCGCTTTGGTGCGGAAGTCTACAGGAAGGTGAGCGGAACAGTAAAGTTTCAGCAGGTGTTAAACAGTCTAAATGACAGCCGTCAAACACGGAGGCATAGCAGTCACGGATTAGATGCAATGTTGTTTGCCACCTGGTAGCTCAGCCTACTTACTGGACAGTAATGTCGCCAACAGCGTCAAAAGTGCCGCCAGGTCGTATTGGTTCTAACGCAGACCATTTCTTTTCGAGACCGTTGCTGATACTTTCCGGTAGCAAAAAATGCGTGCTAGAGTCAGATCTTAAGAAATCATTTCCAATGCTATAACGGCGTATGCCAGCTGCTCGCCCAGCATTGCTGAGAAGCAATACACCTGATCTCTTTTTGTTTGCGAACGGTAACACAGCGCAATATCGTAATATTGTGGTGATTGGTTAATTTAGTCGAATGCTAGGAGATATTGTATTGCTGATTGGCTACGATTATGTACATGTAGCCATGGAAGCTGCCCGGAAATACAGCACACTGATTTTTGTATCAGTGTCTAAGTCGAGGGCTTTTGTGGAACGATTTTGGTTGACAATGTGTACTGTCGAAGCCTTCAGATCGATGATTGGTGGTTGTGTCAAAGCACGACGACGAAGACTGACTGTTGGGACAGTGACTGAGCTGATTACTGCGGTATTTATTGCACAGGTGCGATCTTTGTGACGTCGAAAGAGGAGGTGGTTTAGAATCACTTATTTGAAGTCTAAGACTGGCGTATGTTTCGATCCTTTGGTGATCGTTTACCAAACTTGATTACCTAGCTTGATGCTAAGTAGCATAAGTTTGGCCTGCACTATAATCTACTCTACGCATCTTATTATTGTCGGACAGAGTCGTCGATTCTGTCACTTATCATACACGTAACAGAAGTAGATTGTATAGTTTCGTATGTTCAGCTTTGATGAATTCATACGTTTCGCCCCCTAATTCAAATGAGGCTTTTGCTCCTGTGTTGAATGCAGGTGTATGATAATAAATTGCGGTCAGCTTGCTGACGAGTGGAACACCTTAGCGCGTATTGATTATCTCAAGTACTCATTAGAATTGTTATCTTGCACTACCATTATCGCTTTCGAACCGATTTTATCTTTGCAATGCCATCGACGCTCGAAACCTCTGACCACTGTTCAAAAACGATCGTCACTTTCAGTAAGATTGACTCACACAATCGATGAGTAATGCACGAACAAGCCACTGGTAACACCTGACGATCTGCCCTAATTTGTGTATTGCATCATCATAACTTTTTTGTCAAGGTGGTACAAGAAGCCGAGCATGTCTTTGTCTGTTTTTTTGGAAAGGCGTGGCTTTCGTCGGGGCTTCAGTTGGTCCAGCTCATTTTATTTTCTACGTGCGACTTCATCTTCCTGTTGCTCTTTCGTCGACCTTCGTCTTCGCCTGGTTTGCAGCAAAGCATTTGCTTCTTGAGTCAGCACTCAAAGCCTATACTGGTTTGTTCTACGATGTCAGCTGCGCAGGTACACCAGAAAGGAACCTTGAGCAAAATGGAGTTCAGTGAGGCTGCGTCGTCTACAGTTCAGTTGCTAACGCTTACTGGACGCTACAGTCATCGCAGCAACAGAATTACCATGGTGTTTTTTGCTGAAACACTCGCTTGCAACTGTTTGTGCCCAAACCAACAATGCAAACTTCGTTGCTAGTGGCCACTTTCAAGGCAATAGCTGCTACAAAGAGTGCACGCATTACACTTATCGTCACTGAAACCGTCACGAGCATTGCACTCACTGTCGTAATCACCACGTCTTTTTGTAGTTCGTAGTCTCAAAAAGCACCACCAAATCAATTTGTTGTTTTTGCTTTTACAAGCTCAAAAAAATATACAAATGTCTTATGTACCGCTGGTTGCAAGCTTGCCTGTCATCGAGTCAATGTTGGATGCTTTCAAGAATGAAATTGTCGACATCAACATCCTGTTGTTCAAGCTGAGTTTACTGTCAAAGAGTTTTAGCAGACAGATACCAGCAACATCAACGACTTGCTACTCTGTAGGTAGCGCGTCCCGGCGTGACGGTTGCTGTAGCTGCAGGCACCAGTTAATAGGAGCTCATGATTCTACATAGACACTTGTGGAGATACAAATTCGTTACATCTCCACAAGTGGCCATCTAGATCAATGATCTCCTCTCGGATTGCATGAAGTAACACAAGAAGCCTAACCGTCAGGCTTCTTTTGCATTCCGAGACGTGCTGCTTTTGTCTCATCACACACTAAAAATTTTTAACTTACAATATGCACATGTGACAGTGGCAAGTCAGATGACTCGTCATTCAGCTCATTTAATGTCGTTTGCAGCAATACCCCGGTGACATATGCATTCACACAACTGTCCGTCAACAGCTTTGCAAACAAGTACAACAGATTAGCTAGCAATGGCAAATCAATCTCTGATTTCGTCGAAGCGAGCGGACAGCAGTAGGTGAATACAGGTCCAAGCAAATGATAGCAGAGTGTTAGGTAGTTACTTTGCTGACCATAAACTTCCTGGGTCAACGTTGTCCCTCTGCGAACATGCAACCGATTTATGTTTGACAAATGACACCCGAAATATAATTCGTGTGAACGTTCTCGGCCAAGTATTGTCCACATCTACGAGCCGTAACACAATATACGTGGAAGGTTAGACGATCGACCTGAGTCATCAACAAACGCGGATACGGTCTAAACTTTGTTTTTCACAAAACGTGAGTGCCTATCCAAATACGGCTTTGTTCTGCTGTCGTCGCTCGGTGTTTTCTAGCACCAAAATCAAGTCAAACATAAGTTTGTAAAACGTTGGTATCGATTTCTTACCAGAGATTCTAATGAATGCACGTACGATCTGTAAAAAGTATCCATCATTCACATAGATGCTCACACAAAGGCGAGCAAACCAAATCAATAGGATTTACCTTCTTCAACTGGTACTTTATGGAGCCGTGGCGCATAAGTCATTCCTCCATTTGAGTCTTACACCAAAGGCAGCAGTATGTTGACCAAGATACTGTTCCTCATCGGCGTCTACACTGCGAGTATGTTCAACGTCGCTGAAGCACTAACAAAGGGTCATGATTTGTCATTTGTTACACTCATGGAAACCAAGCAAGGTGCTAACTGGATACCTACATCGGGTAAGCATACTAGTATCGAATCCATCCTCGGCGCTGGAGGCATGGACACTGTGCGGCTTCGGTACGTTGACATTCATTCTTGGAAACTTGATGCCCATTCTTCACTCTATTTTTGAATTGTGCAGTCTTTGGACGTCCGGTGACTACGACTTGGACTATACGCTAGCTCTTGCGCAGCGGTTTTACAAAAGCAGGCTACCACATCTACCGAGACATGCAATTTTTCCGACACGTGGGCTGATCCAAGTCGCCAAAACATTCCTTCGTCGTGGAACGATAGCTCGATCACTTCGCTAGCTGCTGACTTACGAGCCTACGTGTCGTCAACGCTAAAGGCCTTTTACAGCCGGTGGTGTGAAGCTCACAATTCTGTCTCTTGGCAATAAAATCGCCGGTGGATTTCTTTTTCCCATGGGTAAAATCAACGGTGACTTCAAAGCTTTCGCTACCTTGTGGAAGGCGGCGCGTCAGGGTGTGACAGACGCGGTGTCTGCAGGCACTTCAAGACCGAAAGTCATGATACACCTGGAAAATGGATGGAATTCAAACAAGGTGTTACCGTTCTTCAAAGGACTCTTTGCTGAAGGAACGGTGACGCAGAATGATGTGGACGCGTTTGGCTTTTCGTTCTACCCATTCTACAATACAGAAGGCAACACTTGCCGCGCTCAAGTCTTCTCTAACGGAAATGGCCAATACCTACGACATCGCCATCTACGTCGTAGAGACCAACTGGCCGACGAAGTCACGAAAGTCAAAATGAGTGCAGATTTCCCAGTGAGCGCCGAGGGCCAAGTCGCATGGGTGGCTGCCATCATCGACATTCTAGAGCGCTTGCCCAATAAGTTGGGTGCTGGTATTTTTAACTGGGAACCTGGATACCTTTCGGTGGCGGGTCTTGGTAGTTCGTGTGAGTCTGCTCTACTCTTCAGTGTCAATTGGGACAAGTGGCCGGAGACGGACGCAACTGCACTCTCGTCCGTCACTATGTTCGCATGAAATTGCGTGACCTTGTTTCCAAAAGAGAAATTACTCAATGTTAAGGATATGTGAGTCGTCGATGGTTCTCCAGTAGCCTTAGGCGTAGCACGCAGACTTTGTCTCGAATATATCCTTACTCTTCAAGATCTTGCTCTTATCGCTGCTTCGTACGGTATCATATTTTTGTCGCGTGTACAATGCAGCTCTCGTTAAACTGTCCTCTAGTTATCTCTCCTCGTAGTACGTCAGCTTTAACAGGCTCTCGACTGACAGTGTCCCGGTTCGACTTGCTTTCGAAGCTGCATACCAAAAGGAAATGACCTTTTAAATTTAATATAGTGAAAATCCATTAGAAATTACTAATATGCAAAATTTGCAAGAATGATTTGTGGAAGAAGTCGTTCCACGTGACTTGCTTCTCTCCATCATTGCGTGGATGTATGTCAGTTGAACATAAACTGTAATTGTAGGTTTGTGATAGTCGTTCGAGAAGATTACCATGCCATGGTTGTAACGGGGCAAGCCTAGTTTATAATTTTGACACCATAAAAGCTGCCAGCAGGGCAATGGTGTTAACTGATAATATTCAATACTTCATATTTACTTCTTATGGTGTAATATTCCTCAAGTTACTTACAGGACGTGTATTGCCTTCAATATCACTACAGGATGCCTTGGTTAATGATATAGGCCATTTAATAAACAAACATCCTTTATTTGACTAAATATTCAAACGGAATAATTTGCTTGTAGTGATTCCCAGGATTAAACGTAACGGTTTAAATGGAGTCTTCTCATTAAGGACACTTTCGTCTATCGATGAGCTAAGAGAGAACAGGTTCTCAGCAAATACTGTTGCTGACCGAATATTGGTAGCGTACTCGTCCTCTGCGACGAGCACGCGCATCTGCTTGACTTTGTGACTACGCATATATCGGAGGAATGCTTGTATTCTAGCGTTAGCAAATAAGTTATGCAGTGGGGCTACAAGTAGCTAGCGCCAATGATAAACTTAGACTCATCATTCTCTTAGTTCATTAAAGCTAAATATTCGATATCAGAATCAGGAATGGTCAGAGACCTAAAAATATATCCGCGGCGCTTGCGCTTTGTATTTGTATGTATGGGGGCGTTGCTGCAGGCACTGTAGCCGAGCTACTGTAGCAAAGCTACTTATGTACTAATTGCAGAGGAAGACTTGCTCAAAGGGCTGTATGTTTTTGAGTTCTATACCCTCCCAAAGCTAGCTTTAAAAGCTTGTGCCTTTTGGTTGTAAACAACCACGTCTCCAAGAGGCTAGTATCATAGGAACAATTCCTGAAAAGGATTAGAACGCTCTAGCACGTGCGCTATTATGAGCAGGTTTGAAACTGATTTATTTTTATGTTTAAGTTCTAGCTCGAAATGTATAAGTGCCAACTTCATACTTAGTGCTAGTCACTATTTACTGGCTCTGTAGCCTGTTATTATATGCAAACATGTATAGTCACTATACTTAACTAAGTCGTGACAATGCGACCCTTCGTACCTTAGTTCCGATCACATCGAGCCTACTTTTGTACCCAAGGTACAGCCACACCACATTGGCGTGGCAGGTGTGTATGTACAATACACACCTTCGTGTAACCCCGTTACACCCTCCCCACCAATCCGTGGGACCCGACGTACCCACAAATTTTTGCACTTAATCGGAAGCATCGATTTCATTTTCTTCATTTTGCTTGCCTCGCAATAAGTGCTTGCACTTGCGAACAAAGCTTCTGTGTTTTCAACACTTGCTCCTTGAGCATCTGTGCTTTCCACTTACGCTTTCTAAGCATCATAGTGTTACGACACTTGATCCTTAAGCATGCAGTGCATTGCACTTATGCTAAAGCAAGTGTTACAACACTTGCTTTTAAGCGTTAAGTGCCTAGCATTTGGTATTAATACCCATTAGTTTTTACGATCACTTGCTTCTACAGCGTTAAGCGCCTGACACTTTCTTTCTAAGGCATTCCAGTATTCTGAAGACTGCTTGTTAACCATTTAAACATATAAGTGCTTAAACGCTTGTTCACAAATTACCGTAGTGTTAACACTAGGGTATAAGCACCATAGTGTCTAACACTAGCTTATAAAGCACAATTTCGTTAATTATAGCTTATAAAGTACCTAAGTGGTTAACACTTGCTTATAAAGCACATGCTTGACACTTGTTTATAAGGCACAGTAGTGTTAACACTAGCATCTGAAGCAATTACATGTTTAACGCTTAATTTTAAGCACCTAAGTGTTCAACACTCGCTCATAAAGCGCCGAAATGTCTAACACGTGCTTATGAAGCACCTTAGTGTCGGACACTTACTTAAAAAATAAAGCTCCTAAGTGTCACGTGTTATAATAAAAATTGTCCATAAGTGGTCTTGACTATTTGGTGCAGTGGTATTACTTTTGCTTGTAAAGGATTTCATTATTTACTACTTGCTTATATAAAGCCCCAATTGTAAACTTGCTAATAAAACTTCATAATGATTTTTTACACCTAATGATAAAGCAGCCAAGTGTTTCACACTTTATTGAATGCAACGAAGAGCCCAGAACATGCTTATTGAGCCATAAATGCTATAATTACTTGCACTTCGAGCTCACAAAGTCTTTACGCCTTGCATTTCATATAGACAAAGCCATATACGCCGTAATTTTTGCTTCAGAAGCAGATAATAGTACTTCTCACGCGAGTGATGTACCGGTGTTGGCTTCTTTAGAAGGTCAGAGGTGAAGTTAAACTACTGAACTTGCTTCTGCGGCACTTAGTGCTAGGAAGCATCTGGCAGCTGCTGTCACCGCTTCTGATCGCTCAATCAAAGGCTTCAACGACGTCCGGGCAGTCTTGCCGGAGGAGTTACTCGTACTCCAACGAGCAATAAGACTGAAGGTACCCCCTCCACTTTACCAGATATTGCCTGATGAAGACGTTGCGCCAATAGACACTCGACGTGAAACGGTTGATGACCCAGCTCATCAGTCAGCGTTGCGGGGGTCGGTGACCCATCGATCCATAATCTTTTGGTACGTCTTCAGCGTCCATATGTACCTCCGGTGCTGAGGTGAAGGAGCCGATGGCAGATCATGGAAAGTCCCCGGCTTGAGAGGTGACGAAGCCGGAGTGCTGGTTGTACTCGACTTGGTAGTCTTAGAGACCTTGGTGGTCGTCTTGGCCGATGGACGCTGAGGTCGCTTGCCTGAAACCGGTGTAGGAGGCGCTGTGGGGTTAGTCACGGGAGGAACTACGGTATCCTTGAGTGGATTCGTGACCTAATCTTCGTGCTCCAACTAAGTCACTACTAGAGAGTATCGGCTCTGGCGGTAGTCAATTTGCCACCGCAAGAGATCCACCAGCGCTCTCTCATGCAGGAGCCCCTCTCGCAACTAGACCACGAGGTTGTTGGTGTCTTGCAGCTCTCTCTCGAGGCGCTCACACCTGGTGGTCCAGTAGGCGTCGGCGGAGGAGACAAGAGTTGGTTGACTCTCTCACGCCTCAATTCTAAGGCCATACGCGCTTAGGTGGGCCTGTAGGTCGCGCAGCAGCTGGAGTACGTCTATGGGCCCACCCATCGCACCCGGAGTATCACTCGAAGGATCAATGGGCGGAACACAAGTGACCGTTCTCACGGGGTCCACCACAGCAGGGGAGCTGGAGGTAGACCGAGGGTCATCCACGACTGAAGAACTCTCATCACCTACGGCTTCAAAAGAAATCGTCGTGGACTTCCCTGGTCCTGGCACCTGGAGAGAAGTACCGATCGGCTGTGGAAGAAAACCTGGGCCTCTGAGTCAGCAGCGAGTGCAGGAATGACCAAGACCAGTTCCTCAGGTGGTGGGTCTACCCCAGAGAAAGGAACATCTAAGGTCACATCAAGTCAGATAATAAATATTAAACGCCAAACAAGCTAGGAGTACTCAAGGAATGCAGAAATTAAAGACATGCGCGTGCTCAAGCGGCTGTACCGTTGACCAAGAGCAGAGAGCGGCTGTGGTGAAGCGTTTCGAGAACTGGGAGGCCAAAGGACCAGTAGGACAAAGAAGAAGGGACTTGCCAAGGAGGAGAAACCGTTGGGTAAGAAACAGAGAGAAAGGGCGCTGTAGGGGGAAGGATTACAACCGTTAAATGGGAAGAAATTTACGGTAAAAGCGTGTCATTTGGCCTCCATTCAAAGGTATAAATTGCGATTAGCCTGATGGACCGCAGTTCCTTAAGGTGGACCTCAGTCCTTCAAGGTATACCCCGGTCTATCATTGGTAGACCTCGGTCTTTCATATGGGCAGATCTCGACCTGTGGTCGATGAACCCTCTGCACCGGTCCTTCAAGGTCGACCTCAGTCCAGAGGTCCAGCTACCTCGCCAATCAGAGTCAGGAATCAGGTCTCAGGGTATATTAAGAGATAGGACTATATTAAATACTACTAAAATTGCAATCTGCATAGCACAACTCCGTCGTGCTTCCAAGGTACTAACTAAGTCTACCCACCTGCTCCAGGAAGGGTTACATTTCGGCCCTCCGTCGAAGACAGACGTGTGGTAAGAACCAAATGTGAATAGAGCCCCGGGATATATTTGACCTGCAAGTTCATCTGAGTAGCACCCTCCAATCGACCCGCTATCGAAAGCGGTCTCCTTACCCTAGTGCTTCGGGAGCAAGTAAAGACCAGGCGGTTAGCACCTCTGAGATATCAAGGTAAAGGCCACGGTTGAGAATCTCCCCTAAAGAATTTGGTTATAAGTCCACCCTCGACCTAGTCGACCAAGTGAACACCTACCCGCTTTCCGAGTAAAGTATATCAACTCGAGGCCCCCCCAAGGTCGACCTCTCTTAAGGACGACATCGCATCTCAACCAAGTCCTCCGAAAGGTGCAACCCGGCAGCCGACGGGTACACAAGGTGAGAGAAGGTCTAAACGCGGTATCGAGGTACCCCCTCCTACAGTCGGCCTTCCGGGACATTGAGTGGCTTGAGGTCTCATTACGCAGTTTTGAG